CCTGGAAGATTCCCTGCTTGGCTGCAGCCACCGAGTGGCCAAGTCTCTGACTTTCCTCATCAGTCACTGGGATGCCCACCTGCAGTTCCCTGAAAAGGAAGGCCTGGGAGTCAGATCACAGGCCCCAAATCCTACCTGTAATGACCTCACAGGCAGCTATTCCCTGGGGTCCCCTCAGATGTCATAGATTCAAAGGCTATTTCTCCTACCCCAGGACCCCAGAGTTAGACTGAGACCATGCCCAGAAACTTCTGTTTGGGGAAGGAGAAGGACTGGGCTACTCTGCATGGTGGAAGAACGTGCCTACCTGCACACCGGGCATGCATGCCAGGAGCTGGAGCCACTCACCTCTGCCTCATCAGGGGGATGTTGATGCAGTTGGCAGCTGCCACCGCTGCAAAGGGCACAAATCTGCCAACCAGGGGGGGCAGGTGCTGGGGGAAGCAAGATGTCACTTAGAAGCCCTAAGGGCCATGGAGTAGTAAGGAGCTCTGGGGGGAGAGATGTGGGGAGCCTATAGGTTGGTATAGACAAGTGATGGAGAAAAGGGAAACAAATAAAGGGTAAATGGGGGGCATTTACCTTGGTGAGGGATTTGAGTCCCAGGGCTGTGGCCACCGCACCAGTGGTGGCACTCACATAAGCTGTTCCCAGCTGCCTGTGGGTGGAAGTCAAGACACAATGTAGGAGGTGAACAGTCCAGCATGTGGTTCTTTCCTTCAGGATGTGCCAAACCCTCAACACATGAGGCATAGAAGGCAGAGAAATTCCTCCCCTGCTACAGGGTAGACTTGTCTGGAAGCTCTGATCCCTCCCCTTCAGGAGGAGGGGCCCCACCTCCACCCCATAGCAAACATTGGAGGATGCCTGTGCCCTCAGGCCAGGAAACTGGGGAAGAGGGACAGGCTGCAAGGAGGGCTTGGGTCATTAGCTGAACAAGCACTCTGGGAACAGGAGCAAACAAGAGGGAGCAGTGGTGGGCCCCTGGAGAAGTCCCCGGGGACAAGCTCTCACCCCACAGTAATGGGAGCATCGCCACTGCGGTTGGAGTAGTTAACAACAGCGTTGAAGGACTGATTCACCCACTGCCAGAACACCACTGTCGGGGTCTTCCTGAGAGAACAAAGACATTTACTTCCACCCCCTACAGTACCCCTGGTCCTCAAACCTGATAATGAAATCCCAAAAGGTTATTCCCAAGCCTTCAGGAGGGACCCAACTGGTGACCCAAGAACTTGCTCTGGTGACCCCTACATGACCCTCCCCACTTATGCAACTACATACACTGTCTCTGGGGTGGGAGGAACCCCTGGGCTGAGTTCTGAGGAATGTAGGGGATTCGAACACAAGCTCCCACCCACCCACTATTTTCTGCCCAGCTGGCCTCATTGAGTCATCAAGCTACACTCTGGTTGGATAGAGTGCTCAGGAACCCTTCAGGGACTCATGGGAGGGGACACATGGGACGGGACCTGCCTGTAGAAGGTGAGCATGCAGCCAGTGATGGTCATGTTCATGGGCACCTGCGCTGACATACGGCCAATCAGGACCACCTTCTCCCCTGTGTCGGGATGGAAGGCAGAGTCGTACACATACTTGGCCCTCCACAGCTGGTCCTCAGTGAGCCCGGGTGTCACCACACCAGCCCTGTAGAGAATGGCAAGGAAGAGACAGGTAATTCTCGGCAGCAGATCTGCCCCTGAAAGCCCTGACCAGTCAGCTCAGGGGAAGTCTGGGCAGAGGACCAGGAACTCTGGCCCCCAATCTCAGAATAAAGGAGCTCCTTTATTCTCCTTTATTCTGGTCTCTGGGGGAGAACCACATCATCCCAGAAGGGTAGGTGGGCTCCTATTTCTATTTTCCTTCTAGCCACACAAAGAAGGGTGGCCTTCTCTTTCTGCCTAAATCTTGGTTCCCAATGGGTTGAAATGACTAGGGGCATCACAGGGGATTTTCCTCCTGGAGACTCAACTTTGAGACCCTCTGTCCTTGCAGAGGGTGACTTAGCAGTGGGACAGGTCCCTCCAGAGGGTTTGTGAAACATATAGTAGCCCCCTACCCACAAAGATCAATGCCACCTCCTCAACCCAAACACCCTAAAATTCTCTGGGTTAAAGCTCTGTGCCATTGTTGTCTGTGATTCCAACACAGTGCCAGGGAATAAGGGGGTTGAGGAATGGGGCAGGGTCACTCTCAAGCTTGGGGAAAGAGATGCAAAATGTAATGTATTAATGGCAGGGAATGAGACCCTGGGGTACAGGGTCAGATGGGGTAGCGGTCTACCTGTAGTTCTGCACGATGTTCCGTGAAGCTTCCAGCTGTGCTCCAGACAGCAGCAGATTTCGGGGGTCAGTAACAGTGAAGAAGTGCCGGGCTCTGCCCAGGAAAGTGCTTTGGTCCCAGCGAGGTTCCTGGATATTGATATCTAAGGGCAACTCACCCATTTTCTGCAGGGCAAAGACCAGAGTCGGAGGACTCCAAGGCAGTTCAAGAGCTCTGCTTGTGGGAAACTTTGGCGGCCCTGCCCTGGTCCCTGGGCCTATCACCAATCCCTACTAGAGCTCAAGGTGACTCCAGATAGGTAAGCAAGGGTTAGAGGGAGGAGCTGTTTTCCAGGCAATATCCTGGCTCAGAGGGGAGGAGGGGTAGGAGAAAACAAATGGAAAAATAGATCTCTTTTGCACTCTGGCCTGGTACAGATTTTCATCAGTGAGGATTTACATGTGTATGGTTGATGCAAGAGAAGCCACTAATCCTGTGCAGCTTCTCTTGCGCCCTATATGCACAAAAATGCATGTTCTAAGCATTATATATATCCAAGTTCATGTGAGCTTCAGGCCCCAGCTGCCTTGAGACCTAGATGCAAACCCCCAAGGCTGTTTGGGAGGATGGCATAAGCCATCCCACGCCCCAGCCCCTGATTGGAGGAAACCAAGGGCTCACTGGCCACTCCAGGGCTTATCTATTCCAGATCTCAAATAAGTGAACCTGCTGCCAGCCAGGCATGCGTGCTCATGGACATGCACAAGTCACCTCTCCGGGGGCATTTTCCTCAACCCACACTGAATGGCCCAAGGCCCTCCTTGTTCCCCAGCTGGACAGGGCTGCCACAGACTCCCAAATCTCCCTGAGCCACCTACGTCCAGAAAGGGAGATTCAGTAAGTGCCCTCTCCACCTAGTACAGAGAGGAAAGCCTGAAGCAGCCATCTGGCTGTGTTAGGCAAAATCCTACAATATGACTAATCCTCTCCAACCACACTTCCTCCCTCACTGGAAGGCACGCCCTCCCCTCTCTGACACACTCACACTAACATACCCACACACAAAGATACACACATGCCCTACACAGACATACAGTGGACACGCCCTGCATACACTAGCCCACAAAGACCGTTACTTGCACACTCACACATACACACACAACCCATATCCATCAACTGTAGGCACTTGAATGTGTAACCACATGAGGCCTCACCCTAACATTCCTCCCCCCAACCAACCTCCCCTCGGGCCCCAAAAACCTCCCCAGAACCGGATACTGAATCCGGATAGGACGGAGAGCACACTTCAAGGCAGGCTTCCCTCGCTCCCAGTCCTCAGTCCCCTACTCCCCTGACCGCCGAACCCCACCCCAGGCAGCCAGCACTCACGCTTTCCCGAGCTCCTGGGCGTCTGGCTTCTGCAGCTCCGAGACCCGCCTTCCTCTAGGCGCGTCGCCCCTGCTCCTGCCCTCCCACCCATCACGCGTAACGTCACGCGTGACGCTGACCGGCGGGAGGGGCGGGGGCTCCCCCTCCCGCGCGTCCGCCGGGCGTGCCCAGGGATTGGCAGAGCCTGGGGGCGGTGGGTGCCACTTGGGGAGACGCCCCCAGCCGGGGCTCCAGGGACCTGGCCCTCCACCGCCTCCCAGAGCCAATGGGGGCTCCGGGAATCAGTTCTGGCCAGTTCCCAGCGGGAGAGAGGAGGGGAGGAAGGGCGGGTGCCGCCCCCTTTGCTTGTAGTACCCTAGCTGGCCTCGGGGGCGCAGCCTGCCTCGGCAGCAACCGGCCGAGGTGCCCGGGACGAAGGCTCGCAGCGCGCGGGGCGAAGGCTGGTGGCTTGGAGGGGCCATCCTCGGATGGGGCGCCCGGAGGGACTCGGATTACCGCCCAGCTAGTTTACTAGATGGCTGCCTTGGCAGTGGCCGCCGCCTACTTGCCCCCCTGGGCTCCTACCCCAGTTCCCACAAGCTCTTGTCGCAGCACTTCGGCATTCACAGCCCTTTATGGTCTCGCTCCGGCCTGTGCGTCCTCTATGTTCTCACCTTTTCCTCCTCCAGCCCCCTCCTTACCCTAGCTCCACTGCTCCCAATCACTACATCCGCACCACGGATCTCAGCCCTAGTCCCTACCCTGGGATGTGTCTGCATCAAGTAAGTGGATCAGAAAGTTCTTCCTCCCCTAGTGTCCTGGAGCCAGCTGCTCCACCCTGTGCCCTTTCCAGAACTGGGTGCGTGGCCAGAGAGACACTTTGTGACACAGAAGGAGGATGCATGTGAAAGAAGGCAACACACACACACACACACACACACACACACACACGCTTCACAACTCACCCAGTCACCTTACAGAGCTCGCTGCTGCACATCCAGGAGCCAGCCCACGCTCCTGCCCACTGAATGCTTACGCCTCCTCTGCCCAGGTGACATTCCCTCATTGAGGCCTCAGGGGTGACACGGAGGGGTGGCAATTCCAAGAGCCCTAGTGTCTGGCTTGGCCTGGAGAAGACGCGGTTCTGGGTTCCCCAACGCTGAACCGGTAGCGGGAGGGAACGAGGCGTGACCCAAACCCTAAATTCGTGGGGCGGGGTGGGGCATCCGAACTCGAACTGCAGCGGGCAGAACCCAGCGGCCTCAGCCCAGGTGACAAACGGCTGGCTGCGCGCCCAAAGGAGGGGCGGAGGCAGTGACTGGCGGCCCTCGCAGCCAATGGGAGCCCGCGGCTACGCAGGCCAGCCCTATTCCAGCGGGCTGGGCGGAGCGTGGGCGAGATGCCCCCAGCTGCTGCAAGGGTTCGCGCCAGCGGACGAGGGAAGCCGAAGCCGGCGGCTGCTGCACAAGCAAGAAGGTGAGGGGGCCAAGTTCGAGAATTGGGGGCCGAGAGGACCGACCCGAGGGTGGGATGCTGCGTTCTGAGTCCCAGAGCTGCTCTGGGGGACTTGGCTCCGGGTTTTGTGCACGCTGTTGTGGGACTCTAGGCAGCAGGTCCTCCACCAAAGCCTGGGAGAGGTTCGGGGAGCCTCTTTAAACGGGAGAGGAGGGGGAATGAAGGGGACGGCAGCCTGGGACCAGCGTATCTCTGGCGTTCAGGGAATCTCTGGGACCCTTGGCTGCACCTGTCCCAGGTCCTGAAGCCCTGCCCTGGAGACCCGAGCCCCCTACCCACATATACACAAAGAGAGGTGTGCAGTTAAGTTACTCTGGCCCCAATTTCTTTCACACCATTTGAAGCCCTAGGGCCCCCAAGAATCCATCTCCACTCTACCCATGACTGGGCACTGGGGTAGATGACTCAGCTGAGAGCCGGAATGAGGGATGAATGCGAGGCTCTCACTGGCCTTATATAAATGGCTCCGACAGCCGACGATGGTGCCTGGACCGGGCCAAGGGTGGGAGAGGTGAGGTGCCTAAGGCCTGGAAGGGCAGGATGTTCAAATCAGGGCAGGAGTAGAAGTTCTAGGGGGGGGGGCAGCGAGGGCAGCATTTACACCCTTGTCCCAATCCCTGTTCTCCATCCATAGGCCTGGAACACACTCCTGAGAAGCAACAGAGGTGGGGGGCCCCCAGTCACTGAGACCCCAGTCCCACACAGAAGGCTCATGGAGCCCAGAGCGTGCGGGGTCCTTTTCTGGAGGACTAGCAGTTTCCTTCTGGACTTGTAGGGCACCTCCCCAGACTAGCCGCGATGGCGCAGGGTTTTGCAGTGGGCTTCGACCCACTGGGCCTTGGAGACCTCAGCTCAGGCTCTCTGAGCTCCCTCTCCTCCCGCGGCCACCTGGGCAGCGACTCGGGCTCCGCAACGCGATACCTGCTGAAGAAGCAGCAGCGACTGCTGAATGGGCCCCCCCGCGGAATCCGAGCCTCCTCGCCCATGGGCCGCGTCATCCTCATCAACTCCCCCATCGAAGGTGGGGGCGGGGCCCAGCTGAGACCGGCGATAAGGGTGGGGGGAATGGGGCAGAGGCGCTCAGGAGGAGGCGGCAGAGCCACTATGGGGGGAGGAACTGGAGAGATGGGAACCTTAGGGCTGTGGGGGTGGAAAGCCATACACACATCCTCATCATTCCTTTCCTCGTGTTCAGGGCAATGCTTAGGGCTACAGGATTGTAGAGAGGTCAGAAGTGGGAAAGAGGAGCCTGGAGGCTGGGACCGGTGCACGTGATATGCTAGCCCCCAAGTGAGCAAGGGAAGGTATCGAATTGGCTGCTCCATCCTGTGGACTCTACCTTTTTCCAACCCCTTTGTGTATGCCCTGGGACACGGGTACAGGATGGAGAAAGATATCCTCCATCAACCAGCCAGTTGTGTGACCAGCTCTGTGTTGGGCTGTGAGGAGTCAGTGCCCAGCTGGGAGACAGAATTTCAGTCTCAGGGGCACCTGGATGGCTCAGTCCCAAGAGCACGTGACTCCTTTTTTTTTTAATTTTTTAATTTTTTTAATTTTTATTTATTTACGATAGTCACAGAGAGACAGAGAGAGAGAGAGAGGCAGAGACACAGGCAGATGGAGAAGCAGGCTCCATGCACCTGGAGCCCAACGTGGGATTCAATCCTGGGTCTCCAGGATCGCGCCCTGGGCCAAAGGCAGGCGCTAAACCGCTGCGCCACCCAGGGATCCCGAGCACGTGACTCCTGATCTCAGGACATGAGTTCAAGCCCCACGGGTGTAGAGATTACTTAAAATAAGTAAATAATTTTTTTTATGATAGTCACAGAGAGAGGGGGGGGCGCAGAGACACAGGCAGAGGGAGAAGCAGGCTCCATGCACCAGGAGACCGACGTGAGACTCGATCCCAGGTCTCCAGGATCGTGCCCTGGGCCAAAGGCAGGCACCAAACCGCTGCACCACCCAGGGATCCCAAGTAAATAATTTTTTAAAGAAGGTTTCATATGCTGAAGAAAGGAAAGGAGTAGCAAATGTTCCAAAGAGGAGGGAGGAGGGATCCCTGGGTGGCGCAGCGTTTTGGCGCCTGCCTTTGGCCCGGGTCGTGATCCTGGAGACCCAGGATCGAATCCCACGTCGGGCTCTTGGTGCATGGAGCCTGCTTCTCCCTCTGCCTGTGTCTCTGCCTCTCTCTGTGTGTGTGTGACTATCATAAATAAATTTTAAAAAAAATTCAAAGAAGAGGGAGGAGAGGAGGGCTGAGGGTCAGGAAGGGAGCCCCAGATCTGGGCCCTGAAGCAGAGGGCTACCCCATCCTATGCAGTTGCTCAATGCTGTTACATTGCGCAACTGTCCTGTATCAACGCTGGTTAGGTCCTGCAGGGAATCTGGAGAAAAATGAGAATCAATCTTCACCTTCCAGAAATTTACAGTGTAGCAGAGCTTAGAGACAGAGCAATGAGAAAGGCTGGTGCTGCAGTGAAGGTATCCCAGGCAAGGTTGGAACTGGAAAATAAGAGCACAGGGTGGGGGTGGGGGTGCAATTAGGAGACAGCCTGGCTGCAGTGACAGATGCGAGGCGACAAAGATCCAGTGAGCAAGGAAGGACCTTGAGCACCAGAGGGGGGGGGGTGATGGGGTGTCCCCTGGGGCTGGGCTTTCTGTGGACCAGACACCATATGTATTTCCAGCTCCCCTTCTGTTTCTCAGCCAGCAAAACTTCCCTGGCTGGCTCCCAGGGTGGACTTTTCAGACCCTCTTCTCCCCTGTGACCCAGCTGGGCATCTCTGTTCCCCTACCCCAGCCATTGGGGCAGGGGTGGAACATGTTGCTCAGGGAGCAGGCTTTCCTGCACCAGTGGCCCAGCATGCTCACTCCCATCATCTATCATGCTGGGCCTCACCCCTAGGTGAGCAGCAGGGTACTGCTGAGAGTCACCACTGTCATTCAGGTCATGGAGCAGAAGTCCTCAGAGGAGCGAGGAGACATGGTAGGGGACAGGGAAGGCACTGGGGCATGGCCCTTTTAAGTCTCATTATATTAAAAGAACATATACTCCTCCTCACACACCCACATACACCATGCTCCAGCTATGATGTAACAGCTCTGTACACTCTCCCTCTAAAGATCCTCTTGCAGAAGTTCCAGGATTGCTCTCACCCCCTCCCTCACCCTAGAGCCCTAGTGCAGCCAGGAGAGCAGCATCTCCTAGCAATGGGAGGACTAAGGTCATGGCTTTAACCAGCCAGCCCCTATCCTGTCTGGGCTGGGAGCCTCTGAGCTCAGAATCTTACCCTCTGCCTGAGCATAAACATCTCCCCACTCATTGCATCCTGGAACCTCTCCCTTTTGTTACTATTTAGACCATTCCAGAGGCCTGAAGCTACTGATAAGGGAGACAACAGTGGGAAGGGAGAAACTGCTACCCACATCACCCCCATGAGTTCCTGTCAGCTCCTCAAACTCAACTGATCCCAGAGAAAACACATTCTTTAATCCAAACCAGCCCTTTCTCCTCACTCTCATTCATCCATTTATTCTTTTACTTATTCAAAAAATCCTTGGCAGATATCAAGTGCTGTGCAACATCCTGGAGATACACTAGCAGAAAAAGGATTACAAAATCCTTACCACGACAGTTTACACTCTAGTGTAAGTTACACTCTAGACAATAAATAATGAGAAAGGATGGTAAGAATCTCGGAAGTACTAGTTTGGATGGTACGATAGAGCAGTGGTTTGCAAACTTTGGAATATATCAGAATTGCCTGGGCAGCTTGTGAAAAGACAAGTTGCTGGGTCCCACACCCAGAGCTTCTTATTCAGTGTGTCTGCAGCAAAGCCCAAGATTACACATTTTTATATACTTTTTAAAAGATTTTAAGTAATCTCTATATGCAGTATGGGGCTCAAACTCACAACCGTGATATCAAGAGTCACGTGCTCTACATCATCCCAGTGTCCTGGGATCAAGTCCTGCACTGGGCTCCCTGCTCTGTGGGGAGCCTGCTTCTCCCTCTCCCTCTGCCTGTTGCTCCGCCTGCTTGTGAGCTTGCTCTCTCTCTGTCAAATAAATAAATAAAATCTTAAAAGAAAAAAAGAGTCACATGCTCTAATGACTGAGCCAGTCAGTTACCCCAAGAATACACATTTTTAAAAATGATTTTATTTATTTATTTGAGAAAGAGAGAGAGAGACTGCAGGGGGAGGAGCAGAGGGAGAGGGACAAGCAAACTCCTTGCTGAGCTCAGAGCCTGACTCAGGGCTCAATCCCAAGATCCCAAGATCATGACCTGAGCCAAAATCAAGAGTTGGATGCTTAACCAACTAAGCCACTCAGGTGCCCCAAGAATACACGTTGTTTTTAAGGTTTTATTTATTCATGAGAGACACACAGAGAGAAGCAGAGACACAGGCAGAGGAAGAAGCAGGCTCCCTGCAGGGAGCCCGATGTGAGACTCGATCCCAGGACTCTGGGATCACAACCTGAGCTGAAGGCAGCCGCTCAACCACTGAGCCATCCAGGTGCCCCTGTTCCCCTCAGAATCTGTGAGATAGAAGGGGCCTCAGAGATCCTTCCACAACATCCTAGACAGATTTATCAAGTGCCAGCTTGTATGCCTCCAAAGATGGGAAACTCATTATCTTTCCTGGGAAACTCATTCCGTTGTCTGATGGCTAAAGGTTTTACAAAGTTTCTCCTTACTAAGTTGGCTCCATCTAACTCCACTATGTGGGCTTGAATCTGCCCTCCAGATTACACAGACAAAAGCATCTAGTGCCTTTCTCAGAATAGCTCTGCAACTATGTGAATGAAGATAGAGCTAGCCTACTCATTTCTGCTTATGATGAAGGGTCCAAACTTGCTCAACTCTGCCCCATAAAATGGAATCTTGAAACTTTTCTATCCATCTGACCCTCAGAGTGGCAAGGTTTTTAGGAATTTATCCTATCCCAGGCCTGTGGCATGAGAAGCTTAGTAAGCATTAGAAACACACACACACACACACACACACACACACACACACACACACTCCTCTATGTAATAAGGAAGGTGAACAGTATGTTCTAGTCTGGAGTCCTGTCCTGCCTGTTCTCATGCTCTCTGACCCATACTTTCAAAATCACCAGCAGAGAACTCAAAAATTGGCTGCCCTTAGGCCTTAGGGCCTTAGGCATCTGTGCTTAGCCTTTGCAGCCCCCAAATTGGGAAACCCAGTAGTCCTCTGTGCACAGAATGGACGTGGGAGTCATGCCTATGTCTCCCCCCACCACCACCACACACAGCCAACAGTGATGAAAGTGACATCATCCATGCAGTCCGGGTGGAGAAGAGTCCAGCAGGCAGACTAGGTTTCAGTGTGCGGGGCGGCTCTGAGCATGGCCTTGGCATCTTCGTCAGCAAGGTGGAGGAAGGGAGCAGTGCAGGTGAGCAGGGCCCCCAGGAGTGAGGTTCTGGCTTATGGTATGAGCCCCCACCTCCATGGGGTTCTGGAGTCCTGTTATCAGCAATGGCAGGAAAGGGTCCTCAGCTTTGGAGGGCCTGCTCCAATGGGGAAGTGGGGCCCCCTCCCAGGGTGGAGCAGGCTAATGGACAGGTCCCTCATCTAACAAGGAACACTGAGACTCTCTCACTTGGGGATTCCCAATCTCATGGGAGAAGTTTTACCCCAGGGAGCCTTGCGTGGTGGGGGAAGCTTAGCTTCATCCTGGGGGGAACTTCTCCCAAGTGGCCAGTGCCAGCTGCCCGCCCTCCCTTGGCACAGAGCGGGCTGGGCTGTGCGTGGGGGACAAGATCACAGAAGTGAATGGGCTGAGCCTGGAGAGCACCACCATGGGCAGCGCTGTGAAAGTGCTGACAGGCAGCAGCCGCCTACACATGATGGTGAGGCGCATGGGCCGAGTGCCGGGCATCAAATTCTCCAAGGAGAAGACTACATGGTGAGAATGCCCATGGTGAGAAGGCCCCAGCCCTGACCTTGCCCCACCCCAACCACCCTATCTACCCCATCCAGCCCATGGCTGAGGGTACAGGACTCCGCATGGGATTTGGCTAGTCTGGCTTCTGCTCTCCTGCCCCACACCCCCCACAACCATGGGCACTGGAAACACGGGGATCCTTAGGCTCCACACTGGAATGAGACAAGGCCCTGTCTCTCCCCCTTGCCCTTCTCTCAACTCTACCCCAGATACCAGTGGCTGCTCCCACCGTGGCTGCTCCTGTGGGCCTAGGGATAGTAAAAGCACCATTCCCTCAGGGTTCTCATGGGGATTCAAAATGGGTCCCAGCACAATGGAGCTGCTCCATAAAAAGAGGAGATTTGGGTGGTTTCCCAAATTTGTAAAGTCTACATCCCACTGAAGGTCTCAGGACTGGAGAGTCCCCCAAGGCAACCTCTCCTTTCCTGGGCAGTTGTCGAGGATGCTGAGAAGAGAGGGGAGCTGGGTGGTGGTGGATAGGGGGGTTCTGACTAATGGCTCCTTGCCGTCTTCCCAGGGTGGACGTGGTGAATCGGCGGCTGGTAGTGGAGAAGTGCAGCTCGACGCCATCTGACAGTGGCTCAGAGGATGGCATGCGGCGCATTGTCCACCTATACACCACGTCAGATGATTTCTGTCTGGGCTTCAACATCCGCGGGGGCAAGGAGTTTGGCCTGGGCATCTATGTGTCCAAGTGAGGGCTGGGGCGGGCCGTGCAATGGGGACAGGTCATGTCCCCTACATGTCCGAAGGCCAGGGGCAGGGTCTGGGGAGGGATGGGGGGCTCCAGGAGGAGGGTCAAGGAGTTCTGCCGGGGCATCCCCATATCTAAGTGAAGAGTCTGGTCTAGAGTAAGGGAGGGCAGGCCAGGTGGCCTATCAGATCGCCTCCTGTCTGACCCCAGAGTGGATCATGGTGGGCTGGCCGAGGAGAATGGCATCAAAGTGGGGGACCAGGTCCTGGCGGCCAACGGTGTCAGGTTCGACGACATCAGCCACAGCCAGGCCGTGGAGGTGCTGAAGGGCCAAACGCACATCATGTTGACTATCAAGGTGGGCAGGACTGTGGGTGTCAGGGAGACGCCAGACTATAAGAAAGACTTCTCAGATCTCTCTAGTACTTAATGTCCATTGCCCTATAATTTGTATAAAATTTCCACAGCCATTTGAGAGAGCAGGCCTTGAGCTCATCCCAATTTTACGGAAGAAGAAACTGAGGCTCAGAGAGGCAGAGTAACTTGGGAAGCAGAGTCACTCTGCGGGCCAGTAGAGGGCCTGCTTCCAGTCCTGCTCCCCAGGCACCTAGGGCAGCACCCCTTTCTGTGAGTGGTGGGGGTCCAGGCTTGAAAGGAGAAAATGCAGAAGGGGGTGAGTGGTGGCAGCTATGGCTTTGGGTAGGACCTGGGCACGGGGCAAGGACTGCTGGGCCAAGGCCAGGGATCAGATTTCAAGGGAGGCACCTGCATTCATTATTCATGCGGGTCTCACACTTGCCTGGAGATCCGGTCCTTCTCACTCCAGCTGCAGAGGAGGTGATGGCCCCTGCTCAGCTCTCCTTCTCTTCCCAAGCCTTCACCCAGCACACCCTTCAGGGCCTCCTCTGCTGTCTCCCCAAGTCTCCTCCTTTGATTTCCCCTCCCACAGTCCTCCCCACATTCTGTTTTTCTCTTTCCTTCATCTCATGTGCTCCCAAACACTCCTCATTTCTCCCACTCGGCCCCTCATCATTCGTATATTCAACATTTTTGAGTATGTACTATGTGGTGGCCACTATGCCAGGTACTGCAGCTGCAATGGTGAACAAGACAGACAAGGTCTCTGCTGGGGCGGGGGGCGGAGGAGTGTGGTACGGTAGAGGATGGGGGGAGACAGACTAGGTGTGTGCTGCTGACAAATGCTGTAAGAATTAATGGACAGATAGGAGGGGTAATTCCGGAAGGCCTTTTGAGTCAGGGGGTCAGGGCAGGTCTCTCTGGGGAGGTGACACCTGAAGAGGGAGAAGGAGCTAGCCAGAAGATGAGTGGAAGGAAGAGAATCCAGGCATAAGGAACAGCAAGTGCAAGGCCCTGAGGTATAGAGGCATGTTCAGAAATCAAGTGGCCCATTTTGTATCTATCATGATGAACTTGGAAAGAGATGAGGATGAAAAGTTTACTCCTGTCCCATCACTCTCCCTTCTCACCCACTCTCCCTCTCATCCTCCACCCTCCCCTCCTTACCTACTCCGCCTTCTCACCTACTCTCCTCACCCACCTTCCTTCTCACCCACCCCCTTCTCACCCTCCCCTCCTTCTTGCCCACCCTCCTTCTCACCTACTCCCCCATGCCTTCCTGTGCCCACCACGCTCTTCCCAGGAGACTGGCCGGTACCCCGCCTACAAAGAGATGGTTTCTGAGTACTGTTGGCTGGACCGATGTAAGTGGCTCAGGCCCCTGAGTTGGAGGGAAAGGGCTGAGGCCTAAGGGTGGGTTGGAGTCTCTGAGGAATAACTGGGCAGGAGAAGCAAGACCTGCTTGGTACTTCCACACGGCCCAGAGCCATTCCCAGGCTCCCCTCTGAGAAGTGGCAGGTTGAGTTCTAGGCTCCCCTGGGCTCTGAAGAAGTGACTTGCCCTGGGTTTCTCAACAAGTCAGTGGCAGGACTGCTCAGCAGCCAGTTCCCCAGAGCCTGCACTACTAGCCTGGGCTGCCACCCGACACCCCCCTTCCCCTTGCCAGCCCAAGCCTGTCCGCAACCGTGGCAGGGCCCTGAAGCCCACAGCCTGCCCCTGAGATGGCCCTGCCTTCCCCACTGCCCGCAGTGAGCCACGGGGTGCTGCAGCAGCTGTCCCCAGCCTCGGAGAGCAGCTCCAGCGTCTCCTCCTATGCCTCCAGCGCCCCCTACAGCTCGGTTGAGGGCTCGGGCTCTCTGTCCTCCGACCACCTGGATGTGGGCCTTGGGCCTGAGGAGCCCGGTTGTCGGGGGCCGGGCTGGGGGAGGGCGGACACCGCCATGCAGACTGAGCCTGACGTGGGGAGCCGCGTGGAGACCTGGTGCAGCGTGAGGCCCACCGTCATCCTCAGGGACACGGCCATCCGCTCCGACGGACCCCGGCCCACCCGCCGCCTCAATTCTGCACTCTCCGAGTCCCCAAAGACTGCTCTGCTGCTGGCCCTGAGCCGACCCCGGCCTCCCATCACAAGGTCCCAGAGCCACCTGACCTTGTGGGGTATGTAAGCTCCCAGTCCAATCCCTGCCTCATGCCCAGTCCTGGGCTCCCCACCTCCCTTTGCTCTAGGACTTGACTCAGCCTCAGTTCCACCCCAGAATACACTCATACTCGGCTCTGAGCCCTGTTTTAAACTGGCCCCAGGTCCCAAACCCACCCTCAAATCCAACCCAGCTCCTGTCAGCTATGGGTCCCAAAGCAGACCTCATCCATCCCTGCCACCTTACACAAACATGCACACAGACACACATGCCCCAGCCCTCTTGGAGTGTCCTGGCAGAGCTGGAGCTGGGCGGGGAGAGGTGGAAAGTTGGGGGAGCAAACCCACCTATCTCCATCCCCACCTCCCTACAAGGCTGTCAGGCCCGTCTGCCCCCAGTCCCTCCTCTCCATCCCTCTTCACACCCCTGGCCCTGGGCCTTCCCTTCCACCCACCACTCCAGCCTCCGGGGTGCTCCCTCCTGCCTGCAGAGGAGAAGAAGCAGCGGAAGAAGGAGAAGTTGGGATCCTCTGGGGAAAAGGGGGCCCTACAGCGCTCCAAGACGCTGATGAACCTCTTCTTCAAGGGAGGGCGGCAGGGGCGGCTGACAGGGGATGCTCCGGAGAGGCCTGGACGCTGGACGCTGGCAGTCTGGCCAAGCCCCGCCCTCGCCTAGACCTGGAGAAAGGTAAGCCCTGGGCAGATGAGATAGAAAGGAGGTTCAGCCCACTTTGGCATCCAGCAGCTTTGCGTTTAAATCCCACACTGCCTATGATTAGCCGGGAGTAACCCCTTGCCCCCATAAGCCTGTTTTCTCATAAGCAAAGTGAGAGTAACAACCTATATCTTTAGAAATAGTGAGGAAGAGATGAATGGGCGTATGTAAATCACTTAAGGACATTGGCATACAGAAGGTACTCAGAAAATGTAGTAGTCATTGTTAAACTGTCTCATCTCCCCACTTTACAGAAAGGAAAACTGATAGAGCCATAACCTAACTAGGGAGTTGAAGGGCTTGGGTCAGATCTCTATGCTCCTGGTGGTAGGGCACTTCTCTCTGGGAATATTTGGCTTCACTTCTCCTGGCCCACAGGCCCCGCCCAGTTCTAGAACCATCCTTGAGCCAGGCCATTTCCAGATCAGGGTTCAAGCAGAAGGGCCAGGACAGGCTTCACTTAGGTCAGGGGCCTCCAGGGACCCTCAGAGAGGCCTCTCATCTCTTAAGTGAGGCTCTGAGACTGGACCAAATGTGGATGAGTTAAGACTCTCAGGGTTGCATGTGGCAGAAACCCAACTCCAATTAGGTTTAAAAAAGCACTCCTTGGCTCAGCTACTGATTTAAGTGGGTCTGAAAGGTTTAAACAATCTCATCAGACATCTGCCCCCTTCATCTTTGGTTCCACTTTCTTCTAGGTTGGCTTTATTATCATGCATCTTTGGCCCACTCCAAGGTCAGATGGCCACTGTCGCTTAGCAACCCAGGGGCAGGGGTGCTTCTTAGAGTTCCAGCTAAAGTCCTCGGCTCTTGTTGGCCCAGCTGGCATCACATGCCCAACAGATGGCTGTGCTTTCATGGGCCAGCCTGGGGCATGTGCCCACCCCAGAGTACATGCACTGAGAATGGAGGTCCCCAGGTGAAACCGAGGTGCTGTTTGCAGAGGGAGAGTGGATGTTAGCTGGCAAAAACAACCAGAGGATGAGCAGCTAGACTCTGCCCCTTCTGGGGGCCTCAAGCGAGAGTCCCCTGGAAGAGACAATCTCTTCAGATTAAGCTGGGCCAGCTCCACTTCCTCAACCCATCTCTTTTTCCACAGCTCCCAGGGCCCTGCTCTCACCTGATTCTCCTCCTATCCCTCTGGCCACTCCTCTCTCTCCTTCAAAGGCTCCTCTTTTTTGTTCTGTCCCCTGAAGGTAGGTGCTCCCCCAAGCTTCATCCTTGGGGATCTTCCCTCCATACATTTGCTTCTGAATGAATCTCCACAAGCAGAACTCAGCTGCACCCTCTCTTGATCCAAAACCTTCCCTAACTCCCCACTATCTAGGAATGAGGGCCCTAGTTGAGCATGGCCCCCAAGACCTACACAGCCTAGCCTCTTGCCTCCTGATTCCACCTCCTTCCAGCCTGGCCTCTTCATTCCACCCAATGATCCAGCCATCCCTGAGCCCTCCAAGCCCCATGTTCAGTTTGGGAGTCAGAGCTCGCAGCTGAGCTTTTCTTCTTCATAGCAGGAGCAGTGGGGCCTGTACAGAAGTTTGTCACCTGGAGACTGAGACGAGGTAATTCATGCATCCCTTTACCGAGGCCTGGTTGACAGAGCTGCAGATGGGGTGCATGTTGGGGGCAGCTAAGGGGCTTTGGGGTCATGCATGGGGGATTGGGAGCATATTGGGGGCAGCTGAAAGAATTGGACCAAGCTTACCAGGAAAGTCAGGGCTGCAGAGAGATATTGGGGTACACTTTTGAGGACTGGGGAATTTGATGGGACTCCCAAAGGCAGATGTTGGGGAGGTGAGGGAACCCATGCCAGAACTCCACTGAGTACTATAACAGTGAATGTTTGGGGTGCCAAGTGCACTAGACTAGGACACCATTAGGGAATAAAGTAGTATAGGAATCTGTGTTTGGGGCCGAAGAATCTGGATTGGAGCTCTCTTCTTGGGCAGAGTGCTGGAGGAGACCATGCTGGGGAGGTTCTGGGCTAGGCTGGGATTTTGCCGGTGGCATCTAGGCCACTTGGCTGACGTGTTCTGTGGTCTGACCCCAGTGAGAGAAGCCCCCACCTCCCCTGATAGCTCCTGGCTCCATCATACATCTTTGCTCCTTTCCTGCAGAGCGGGAGAGGGGTCGGGCCCTGCTCTCTGCCAGGTCTGGGAGCCCCTCCCGCCAGCTGCCTGAGGTGGATGAGCAGGTGCAAGCCTGGGAGAGCCGAAGGCCCCTTATTCAGGACCTGGCCCGACGATTGCTGACTGACGACGAGGTTCTGGCTGTCACCCGCCACTGCTCCCGGGTGAGCTTCCAGCCTGCCCCTGACTCCAGCACATGGTCACCCCATCCTACTCAGCCCCTCATTTGTTCAGGCCACTGTCATTGGTCAGTACCTGGGCTCGATCCCAAGAGGCCAGTGGTTAGTAAAAGCAAAAATCACTCCTGTCACACACACACACACACACACACACACACACACACACACACTGAGCTCACAGACAGGAAGTGAAGCTACAATAACTAGAACCTAAACACCCAAGTGACAAATCATGTGAAGTACTACGAAAGAAAAGAACATGAGAAAATAATCCGAAAGGTACAAATTAGGTGGTATGGTCTAGGAGGGCCTCCTTGAGGAGGTTATATCTCAGCTAAGGAGAGAAGGAGTGGACAGGTGATGAGTGGGGGTCTGTGAGTCTCTGCAATCCCTGCCTTCGTTGTCCGCTAAAACCCAGGCTTTTCCTTGACCTGACCCCTTGTCTCCTTCTGCACCTGGGTCAGCCAACAGGCCCAGCCTCATGCCAGGCCCCCTCCTCTATTATCCTTTGTCACCCCCACACACCCCAGTTCTCCCTCAACATCTGCCCTGTTGTTCTGTTCCCTTCTACTTCAAACAAGAAGTAGGGCTCCAGGATGGGGGTGCAAGTTAGATGTGAAGAAGTCCTTGTGACCTGAATGCTGGGAAGGCTGCGGGAGGCACAGGTCATCCCTTCCCAGGGGATCAGAAGGCCCTTCACTGTCCTCCTGCCTCCAAGCCCCCAGGTTTCCTGTGCTGGACTCCCCGTGAGGTGCCAGCATCAGTGACGTGTGAGCTTGTGAACAAGGACAAACTGAGGGCTTCCAGGAAGTAGTTTGTGAATCCCCCCCCACTCCCTCAGCCTGGTCAGGGTGGGGCTGTTGTTGTTTGGCTGTGTGATGTGTACATGTGTGTGTGTGTGGAGTACCTACGTGTGTATCAACCTAACTGTGTGACCCTTCTACGTGTGAGGTGTGTGTCTAGCTAAGGCATGTATGTATCACCTGGATACTGAGGCACAGTAATTCTTGCGTTCCTTCACTGAGGCCTGGTGGGCAGCAGGGCTGCAGATGGGGTGTATGTTGGGGGCAGCTAAGAGCCTTTGGGCTACACTCTTCATCATGCTCAACTCTCCAAGTAGGGTCCAGAGCACCAGCCTCTGTGAACTTGCAAATCTGGGATCTGGCCATTAGGTGGTGCACTGTGTCCGTTTCTTTGTTCCACTCCTTTTGCGTTATTCCTCTGTTCCTCCCACCCTGTCCCCGAGCCAGGACCACCTCTCACTACACCCCCCACAGCACCTACATACCGCCCAAACCCGACCCACACCTCACCCACACCAAGAGGCCAGACTGGTGTGGAGCTCTAACCGGAATGATCAATAAATCTCCCCTAGTGATTCAGATGTGCAGCCTCAAATTCCTGGCCTCCCTTCTCCCTCCTCCTCTGGGCTCTCATCATCATCTCACCAGACCAGGCTTTATAAGCCACCTCTCAGATCACTTTACACTCCCCAAGCCCCCTCGCAACTTCTTATCTTTGGCGGAAGCGAGTATAAGTTTTTTATGCTCATACTCAAGGGCTTCCCTGATTTGACTCCCCAACCACTAATGTCCGCTGTCCCATGGTCACCACATCACCCTATCGTCATCTTCTGCTGGTCATGGCCTAGGGTTATGTGGGTGATGGACTTTACAGCTCTAGGCACCACTCACACAGTAGTCCCAACCCATGTAGCCTACGTGGAGCCCCTTCTTCTTCTTCTTCTTCTTCTTTTTTTTTTTTTTAAGATTTTAATTATTTATTCATGAGAGACACAGAGAGAGAGAGGCAGAGACACAGGCAGAGGCAGAAGCAGGCTCCATGCAGGGAGCCCAATGTGAGACTCCATCCCAGGACTCCGGGATCACGCCCTGAGCCAGAGGCAGACGCTCAACTGCTGAGCCACCCAGGCACCCCATGGAGGCCCTTCTTGTACCCCACAGTCAAGCTGAACTTCTGTCTATCCATTATTCCTCCTCACCCTTGGAGCAGCTTCCTCCCAATGTTCCTGAGGTTCTCTGCACTTATCCTTAAGAGTAAAAGTAAATGAAACAAACCAAAACGGGCCAGGGTAAATGCCACTGCCTCTAAGAAGCCAACTCCAGTCTTCGCACCCTCCTCTGAGACCCCCTCTGCCCCATCACCAGTGGTTTGTTTCTTTGCCGGGGGGCAAAGCCACTCATGCCAGGCTCCCTCCCCACGTGGGAGGGCACGTGGGAGGGCACGTGACTCATTCTGCCCCTCGTTTCCCACTAGACTGACTTCTGAAGGATCCAGAACAGGGTCTTTGTCATCGTGCCCCCACTGCCCAGTATAGGGTGTAGCATTTAGTAGGTGCTAAATGCAAGTTTGTGGACTTGAAATGTGGACAATTGTGACTGATTCTGTGCAGTTATATGTATCTCTCTCCAGAACAAAGGGGGTGTATTTTTGACAAGGGTATATGTGGGTCCCTGTAACTTTGTGTGTGGTTTAGGGCCACATAGTTTATATTTTATCTCCAGGTATTTATGAATGTCTCACTCTGACCACCAGGGCTTGCGGTGTCTCTGTGTCTATCTATTCCTGTCTCCGATCCTCCGTGGGTCTCCCTGAATTAGTACGTGTCTCCCTTTCACCACCAGGGGGCGGTGTGCTGCCCATAAAGGGTGGCTCCAAGTGTGCAGTTTACCAGTTTTTCTGCGTTGGTGGGGTGTGGCGGGTGGCGTGCGGGCAGTGCCAGGCAGAAGGGCCTCCACCTCCCACCCCCGGGTACTGACTGGAGAGGCTTTCTGTAGAGCCACCCTTTCCCCAAGGTCCCCATTCCAGCCATGAACAAAGCCTAATTGGTAGGTCTCTGAGGGGACCTCTGCAGGGCCGGCCAGGCCCGCAGCCCAGTGTTTGGCTCCCATTCCTTCTTTCTGCTTGGGAGGTGGGGGCGGGGAGGAGAGTCCGCTCCCTGCGCATCCTTTTCCGGCACCAACGCAGGCAGGAGCCAGACTTCTCAGGTTCCAGTGCCTCTTCACACTTCCTTATCCGTGTGGCCTAGGGCAAAGTCCTTCCAATTTGAGCCTCAGTTTCCTCATCTGTAAAACAAGAAAAATCAACGTCACCTCTCAGGGTTGCTGAATGCGAGACCATATGTAAAAGGCTTACAAAAGTGCCGGTCCCAGAGCTGCTGCTGCTGCTGTTGTAGGTCTGGTACTACAATTGCAGGCTTCCTCCTGTCACCAACTTCAGCCCATCCCGGGACAGCCTGGGGATGGGGAGGAGCTTTCCTAACTGTGGGGAACCCCACACATGCCCCAGCAGCACCCCCAGCTGTCTGACCTGGGGTGCCTCTCTCTTGCAGTACGTGCATGAGGGCGGCGTGGAGGACCTGGTGAGGCCCCTGCTGGCCATTCTGGACAGGCCTGCGAAGCTGCTGCTCCTGAGGGACATCAGGTGGGGTGGAGGTTGTGGGGAACACTTGGCGGGGGGCAGGAAAGGGACCTCTGATAACTCCCTGTATGTATTGTCACCTGGCCCTCCCACAGGAGTGTGGTGGCCTCCACGGACCTCGGCCGCTTTGATAGCATGGTGATGCCCATGGAGCTGGAGGCTTTCGAGGCCCTCAAGGGCCAGGCAGGTCAGTGGCTGGGGGTGGGGATGGGAATAGGGTCTCCCAGTGGAGGGGGTGCAGAGATGACCTCCAGCTGTGTCTGTCAGGGAGCGCTCCCCACCCAGTCCACAGGGGCCCTGCCTCTGATGGGATCTCCTCTCCCAACAGTGCGGCCTCCTGCCTTGCGACCAGCCCGGCAGGACACACCACCCAAGCGTCACCTGGTCACACCTGTGCCTGGTCAGTCAGAGTCTGGGAGCCTGGGGAGGGGGCACACTGTGGGGGTCCTGGGGAGAATGAGCCTTCTGTCCCTGCCCCCACATAGGGTGTCGTGGCCCTGGGTGAGGGACTCTGCCTGGGTTTGAGGGTACTAATACTTTAAAGCTTTCTATTGCAATATGTGTCTTAGAAAAAATATGACTTGCATACCAGACTGGTAATTTCTCACAGATTATTGCATAGACTAGATTTAAAAAGTGAGTGGGTTTAAAACCAATTATTAAGTAAATAATAGTACAGGTGGTGAGTAGATGTGATAAGCATGGCCCCAGTGGACAAGGGATTTCCTTCAGGGAACCAGACAATCTTCTGAAGCCACAAGATTGAAGAGCCTGAGCAAGCGCAAGCTTGGGTCTCCTGGGCCCAAACCAATGAAGGCAAGGACTGGAGCCTGGCAAGGTGGTATGGGCTGGTGAGGAGGGGCAGCCTGACCTTGGCCCTCTTCCCCCAGACAGTCGTGGAGGTTTCTACCTGCTGCCTGTGAACGGCTTCTCAGAGGAGGAAGACGATGGGAAACTGAGGGAACGTCTGGGGGGCCTCCAGCTCTCCCTGGGTGCCTCTGCTCCCCACCACACTCATAAAGGGATCCCCCCTCTCCAAGATGTGCCAGTAGACGCCTTCACCCCACACCGAAGCACCTGCACCCCCCCTCCCCAGCCACCCCCTGTCGCTCCCCGGCCCCCAAGGCCTAACTGGCTGCTGACAGAACCCCTGACCCCAGAGGACCCTCGGCAGAGCCAGGGCCAGGGCCCTGCCCAGAGCCGCAGCCGCAGCCACAGCCGCAGCCGCAGTCGCAGCCGGGGCCGGGGCAAGTCCCCAGGACGCAGGCACTCCCCATCCCCAGCACCTGTCCCTACCCCGAGCACAGCCAGTGGGCGCTACCACAAGCCTCGGAAGGCCAGGCCCCCTCTGCCACGACCTGTGGCAGGACAGGTGGCCAAGGCGGGAGGCCATCAAGGCCCTTCTGAGAACGTAACTGGCGGGACAGCCTGGAAGGTAGCCGAGAAGGCCCCTGGGGGGGAGCTGAGGACAGTCACACTGTCCAAGATGAAACAGTCCTTAGGTGAGTCCAGGTGGGACTGGGCCTGGTGGGTGGGACTCTTGGGTTTGGGTGAGTTTCCTGGGCTTGGGTTTGGGGCACAACTAGCGGGTTGGGCTGAGGAAAAGATTTGGATAGGGGGGTATATTTGGGAGGTTCTAGATTAGGAGGTGAGGGAACTAGAGGATTTTTGGAGTCGAAGACTGAGTAGTAACAGAATCTGGGGATTTGGGAGAAGTTGAGGCCTGGACTTGGTGTCGGGGTCCTGGGTTTCTTCCGGGAGCTCTGGCTTGAGGTGTGTGACTCCATGCTCATCCAGTGCTTCTCTCTCACTAGGAATCAGCATTTCTGGGGGCATTGAATCCAAGGTGCAGCCCATGGTGAAGATAGAAAAGATCTTCCCTGGGGGGGCTGCCTTCCTCAGTGGGGCCCTGCAGGTGGGTGAAGAGCACCCAAGCCCACTCCTGAGGCCCAGAGCTGAATTCTGGCGGGGGTGGGGCTGGAACAAGCTCATCTTCCAGCCAGACAGGTTTAGACCAGGTCATGGGAGGAGGCTGGGGTGCAGAGGGGTCAGGCCTGCAAGATGAACAAGCCTATGGAGAAATCTGTCCCCTCACACCAGCCTGGGCCTGAGGGTGGCTCATCCTGTTCCACCCCTAGCCCCAAGGGACAAAGGGCCATTGTCCATGCTTCACCCTGCCCCCAACAGCTCCAGGCACAAAAGTCCCATTGTCCATCCCCTCCACCCAGATAAAGAGGAGTGTCCTAACTGGTGGAGGTGAGAGGTTGGGTGGTGGGATGACTCGAGAACAGAGGGCTGTGATTTTCCCACCCCCATCCTAGGCTGGCTTCGAGCTTGTGGCAGTGGATGGAGAGAGCCTGGAGCAGGTGACCCACCAGCGAGCAGTAGATACCATCCGCCGAGCTTACCGTAACAAGGCTCGGGAGCCCATGGAGCTTGTAGTCAGGGTCCCTGGGACCAGCCCACTACCCTTATCCCCTGACTTGCCAGCCCTCACTGATCAGTGCCTTCCTGCTGACCATTCCCCTGCCCGCTGACCCCTCCCACTGCCTCCCAGAACCTCCCATTAATGCTCTGCCCACCAACACCAAGATCCCTCCCACTGATGCCAGGCTCCTCTATCAAACTGCCAGCCCCAACCCTTCTCCAGCTCTCCAGACTCCTGATACTAACCGGACTCTCCCCATCCATGCTGTGACTCTTCCCACTGACTTCAGATCCTCTCACTGACTCCCTAGGATCCTCCTGCTATCTTCCAGACCTTACCTGCTAACCTCCTTGGGACTCAGGAACCTCTGTTTCTTGACTTGCCTCTTCTCAAAGCTCCCCACTTTTTTCCGTCTCCAGCTATCACTGAGGCTCCATCCTTTCCAGATAAACTTGATGTCAAGGACAAGGTGCTATTGGATAGCCTGTGTCACCTGCTCACTGCCCCCCACCTCCCAGGGCAGGGAGAGGTTGGAAGAAAGCCAAGGTCTGGAGCCTGGGATTGGTGGACACTTTCTCATGTCCCCTATAGTGCCCCTAAGCACTGAGGGACATGGGCTCTCAGATAGGGCCCTGAGGGGTCACTGTATCCATCCCCCAGCCCCAAGCAGCGTTATGTGCAAGGAACAGGATGGAAGTCTTTTCTAGTTTCTCAAACCCTGAGACAACTTCATGTCATGGTCCACTAGGACCTCACACTTTCTACTGGATTTATCCTTCCCCCATCACTCTTTATCTCCCCATGACCTCTATGAGGGGTAAGGGAATATCCAGGGAATATGAGGAGTTAAGGATAGGGAAGGTCAAAGCAGTTCCCATAGTCTTTACCTAGCACACTCATCTTTTTTTAAAAACAAAAAATTTTTTTAATTTTTTTCCTTTGGGTTTGTACAAGAAATTTACAGTGTGGAAAAATATACAAGTGAAAATGAGGCCATAAACCTGGGTGTGGGGAGGGGCCACTTGGTCACAAACACAAATAAACAAGACAATTTTGAGTTCTTCCTTTGGTCTGACTACAGCCCCCTCACCCCAGGAGAGAGGCTGCAGAGCTGGAGCCTGGGGATCAGACCCCAGTCCCAGCCCTGTCCCCCAACACGGGCAGGGTGGGGGCAGGCACATCTGAAGCAGCTGGCACAGTCTGGGTCTCTCTGGCTTTGGGGTAGGGGAGTGTGTGGAGATGAGGGAGCCCCCTCCTCTTCCCAGCCCCCTGGCATCCGGGGAGTAATGCGGTTGGCAGACTGGCAATGGCAGTAGAAGTGGGGGTGAAATGGGTCAAGTGAGTAGGAGCCTCAGCGTGACAGTGAAATGGGGACCTTTAAGGAGTTTGATCTCACCCATCCGGGTCACAGGGCAGCTCCAAGTTCTTGGCAGAGACCCAGAGGCCTGGATCCCAGGGGACAAGCAGCTCTGGGCCTCTCAGACTTTGGGGACCTCAGCAGACCTGAGGCTCCTGCCCCCACTCCCCTGCAGTAGACCTCCCTCAGATCTGGGAGGCCAAGGGCCCTAGATTTCCGTGGCGGTGATCTCCTCCAGGCAGATGCAGGGGGAAGGCTCGGCCAGGCCCAGGTCAGCAAGCTCCCGGGCCTCCAGCTCCAGGCTGAGCTGCTGTAGCTCCTGCTCCAGCTGCCGGTTGCGCCGGTACATCTGGATGTAGTTGTGCTGCAGCTGCTTCTGGTAGCGGATCACCTGCTCCTTCTCTGCCTGCCAGGCCAGCCGCTCACCCTCGAAGCTGTCCCGCTGCTCCTCACCCCGCCGCCGCTCTCGCTGCAGCTCTGCCCGCAGCCGCTCCACCTGGGCCCGCAGGCTGCCCCCGACCCCGGCGGCAGCCCGCTGCACCTTGGCCTCATCGCTCTCTGCCAGGAGGAAGGGATCAGCGGTGGCAGGGGGCACATGAGGTTCCCGGAGCCCGGCCGCCTCGGTGTCCAGCTGGCCGGCTTTCTCTCGGAGCCGCTCGGCCTCCTGGCGGTGCCGCTGCAGCTCCTGGGAACAGGCCTCCAGCTCCAGCTCCCGAGCCCGGGCCGCCTCCTGCAGGCCCCGCGCCCGGCCCTCGCTGACCCGTAGTGCAGCTCGGGCTTCTCGCAGCGCCACCCGCAGGGCCACCAGCTCGCTGCCCTTCTGCACCAGCTCTGCCTGGGATTCCTTCAGCTGCTGCTTCAGCAGGGAGATCTCACCTGACTTCTGGCACACCTAGGGGTGGGAGGGGATCAGGAAGGATGGTGAGAAGGGTTCTCCTAGAGGGTCAGGCCCTGAGACCACAAAGGGTATTTGGGGAAAGGCTGTTTGATCGTGATACCCATGACGTGGATGGAGACACTGAGACAAGCCCAGTGACATGTCCAAGGTTATATGGCTGATAAGTGGCTGAAGCAAAATACAGACCCAAAGCAGGTGATTTTAAACCATCACAGAGTACCGCAGAGCCCTGGGGACAGGCCAGTGGCAGGTTTTGCAGGACTGGGAGCAATTGAGGGCAGTGCCCACATTTCCCCTGAGACACACCACAGCGTTTTGGTTAAAAGTGCAGACATTGCAGCCACACAGCCTGGGTTCAAATCTCAGCTCTGCCACCGACTAGCTATAATGGTGGGCTCTAGCCTTTCTGGGCCCGGTTCCTCATCTCAAGAAATGGGGCTGTGAACAACAGCCACCACATAGGGCTGTTCTGAGGATCAAAGATCCACTCTAAGTAACAGCTAAAAAGTGCCCGGCGCCTAGCAGGCTCAACATTCTGACTCTTATTGGTCGGGGGCAGGGGGGTGGAAGGGTTGGCAGTGGATGGGAATGCCACCGGCTCCATGAACACTTGACCAGTGAGGAGACCTCAAATGGTGGCACAAGGAGATCCTTGCCCAGAAAGGAAGGTCTGAGGGGGACGGGACCTTCATCTCACCAAGGTGGATGAGGATGAGGAGGACCTCTGGGAGTAGCAGGCTGAGGGTAGGGGAGGGCTGGACCCCTGTGCCCGGGGCTTATCCCAATTAGGCCCTGCTCCCTGCCCCTCCTGGCCTGGCCCACCTCCCACTTGGTCTCCTCGAGCCGAGGCCCAAGCTCCCGCTGCTCCCGCTCAAAGGTGGCACAGCGCCGCTCCAGCTGCTCCCGCTCCTGCAGCAGCTGCGCGAAGTCGTCCTGCAGCTGCCGCTTCTCCTGCTGCAGCTGGAACACCTGCAGCTGAAGCAGCTGTTGGGCCCGCTGTGCCCGCTGCGCCTGGGTGAAGCCGTCGTCCCGCAGTGCCTCACGCTCCCGAGGCCAGGGCCGCTGCCGCTCCTCGTACGCCTGGGGACAGAAGGTGGACCTGGGTGCCTCGAGCGAGGCTCCCCCCTCCCCGCCGCCCATGGCTCCCTGGTCACCGACTGCTCTGGCTCTGGCGGCCTATGGCTGGGCTCCGGGACGGGAGACTCCATTCAACCCTGAGGCTAATTACAGTAGGTCTAGTCACAACCACTGCTAGGATCCTAGAAACAACGTTAAGAGCAAGCACTTCTGTAGGAATTCCTAGGTGCCAGGCGTCATTCTAAGCACTTCAAAGCCTTTGCCTTACTTAATCCTCATGAGAACCCTAGGAGGCCAGAAATCTCCCCATCTACAGCTGAGCAAAGCGAGGCTCGGTACTGTGAGGTGTCTTGCTCGAGTCTGAAAGATGGTACACGGTGGTGCTGGCTCAGACCCCTCACCGCCCTGCAGGTGAAGTCAGATAGCGGGGCCGGGGCCTGCCCACCTGCCCCCCCCACACCCCACAGCACACAGGGAGATGCTCCTTGGGCTCCCAGCTCCGGTGGATGTCCTGCCACGCCACCCCCGTCATCGCTGCTGACCACACCTGGCACACCGTCACCTCACTCTCGTCCAGACTGTCCCGCAGCTGCTGCAGCTCTGCCTCACGGTCGTGGAGCTTTCCTTCCAGGACACAGTGCAGCAGGGCCTCATCCGAAGGGGGGGGAGGGGGCGGAGGAGGGGGTGGGGAGCGCTCCCCACAGGAGCTGCTGTCAGGGGAGGCCCGGGCACCGCTGCCCAAGAGCCCCCCAGCCATATGGCCTCCCAGGGAGCCTGTGCTCTTGCTGGAGGAAGATCGGCCACTGTCCGAGTGGGAGGGCCCAGTAGGGGCCCCTCGGGCTGGCCCGGGCAGTGCCCCCCGCCCAGGGCCATGGGAGGGCAGGTGCCCGCCTGGGGAGTGGGTGGCTGGCTCTGCACCCCCGGTGCTGTAGGTGGGCAGGCTGGACAGTGAGTTTCGGCCGGAGTCAGACAGTGTCCCCGATGGGCAGCCGCTGGCCCAGCCACTCAGTGCCAGGGGTTTGTCAGCAGCCGAGGACGAGGAGGAAGAAGAGGATGAGGCAGGGCCCCCAAACAGCTGTGTTAGGCTGCCCTGGCTCCCAGACAGTCCGGCGGCCCGAGGACCCAGGAAGCTAGGTAGGGATGGTGCCCCTCGAGGTTTGGGTAGCACTGGCTTGAAGGCTGTTGGGCGGATCAGGATTTTCTCCATGTTCTGAAATGAGGTGCCATGTGACACTGGGGATGAGCTGCCCAATCTTTCAAAGCCCTTATCATATTCCCTGCCCTCCCATCTGGGGTCCCCAATCCCCACACATTAATAATAATTGCTACCACTGGCTGAGGGCCTCCTGATGTCCTTTATATCAAGCTATTTAAAAGGTTCGTCTCTTATCATTACAACACCCATACGAGCAAAATATATGTCCATATTACAGATGAACAAATGGAGGCTCAGAAAAGTTAAAGGCCTCGTTCAGCCAGACACATAGCTGTTGCACAGTTAAAGGAATCTGAGCAGCTAACATTTATTGAGCACATGTTGTGCGACAGGCCCTAGGCTAAACACTGATATACATTATGTGATGGAATGTGCACGAAATCATAGGAAAGCTGCCCTGATGACTCCATATTACAGACACAGAAACTCTGGCTCAGAAAGGTTAAGTGACTTCCTTGAGGTCATGCAGCTAGAATGAGGCAGAGGTCAGATTAAAAGCCAGGTCTGGTGGTCTGGTGAATCTGGAGCTCAAATTCTCTCCTCTAAATCGGCCCCCAAATTCCAGCTTCTTCAGGGCGGTCCTGATTCCACCCAGGCCCCAAAGGAAGGGCTGGTCCTCACCTTCTCCAGCTTTCCAGAAACAGGGATGAGCTTGGGTGGGGGGCCGCGGAGATGGGCATTGCGTGCCCGCTGTTCTCGGGCATCCTCGATGTCACTGCTTGGACTGGGCGGAGACTCTGTCCGGAAGTCTTCATTGATGTAGGTGAAGCTGGTGCTGGGCACGGCCTTCCTCGGGGGCACAGCTGGGCACAGCGGCTCCTGTGCCTCATAGCCACCCCGCAGCAGGCCATCCTGCTGGCGGAAGAAGGTGGGCCCAGGGGGGCCATGGTGGCGGGGAGGAGCTGGCCCCCCAGGGCAGGGCCGGCCTGAGATGAGGCTGCTCACGCTGCCCATGGCTGGAGCTTGTGGGGCAGTGGTGGCCTCAGGAGCGGGCTCCAGTGGCACTGGCAGAGTCTGCACAATGGCCATGGTGACAGAGGCTCAGGCCTGGCCAAGGGCCTCCAGGGGAACCTGCGAGCAGGGTAATGGTGTCAGAGTTCCCTCCCTATACAAGTCCCGAGTCCCTCTCCTGAGCCCTTGTCCCTGGTCAAACAGCCTCCTGACATCAGTACAAGCCTTGATGTCCCTCAGGCTCCTCCCCCAAGCACTGGCAGGAAACTCCATTCTTCCTGGGATCCAGATCACTGCCCAACTCTGGTCTGGACAGGGCTAAAGACTGACCCTTCCGAGCAAGGACACCGAGGGGACGGGAGGCCTAGTGGTTATGCATGGCCCTTGGCAGGGGGGGCCAGGCCCCAGCCCAAACTCACATCCCTCACAGAAGCCAGGACCCAAGTTTAGGAGGGAGATCTCTACCAGGTCCCAACACAGGTTCCTGGTCCCCTGGGACAGGTGGCCTCATTAGAGGGCAGCTGGGGCTGAGGCGACCTCAGGGACAGTCAGCAACTCAGACGGTAATTAGGGAATAAACAGCCAGTCCAGGCAGTGCCAAGCCTCCCGCACCTGGGCCTCAGTTTCTCCCAGACGGAGAGGCGGCAGGGTGGAGCTGGCCAAGCAAGAAACCCAGAGCTTTTAGGGAGCCCACAGGTGCCCTCTGGGGTCTCCTGCCTTCCAGAGGTGGATGCAGGCTCCTGCTTGCTTCCATGACAACTCCTAGCCTCACCACACCCAATCGTTCTGGCCTAAAGGAGCCTGCACAGGCCTGCTGCCAACCTCTGGTTCTGCAAAACCATCCGGCTTTAGACATTCCTCTGAGTAACCCTGAGGGGATGAAGATGGAAGCCCCACCGTCACCTCTGGCAGCTGCTTTCAGATCTCACTTCCCTGGAGCCCAGGGAAGAGGGCCCCACCACCCTGGGCTCTGCTCCTTCCTGGAAGGGGACAGCGGAGTCTCCACCCGGAACTCCCTCCCCCGGTGCGAAGACCAGGACTCAGGCATCTGCTGAAGTCATCATGCAGAGCCGGGGCCAAGAAGTGGACATAGAATCGTGTAGGAACGGGAGTTTGTGTTTGTACTTATTTGTGTGTGTGTGAGACTGCACAGGCGCATGGAAGTGAGGACTTTGTGTGTAAATGATTATGTATGAAAACATCAGGGATGCGTATGTGTGAGTATATGTGTGTTGGTACAGTTGTATCAGTATTCCTATTTTTCCTATATGTGCATTAATATGTAATAAAAGAGTATGTGTGTGCATCGAGATCCCTCAGGAAATATGTAAACACAATAATTGCATCGTAATGTGTGAACGTGTGGTGTATGAGCGCAACTGAGAGTATCTTTGGATAGATGTGCTCAAATAGACATAGGTCTATATGTAAACTCACGTATCTCTTACATGAGCGTAGAAACAAGGAAGTGAGTGTGCGCAAGTGTGTACAGAGGAGTGTGTGAACAGAGCGTGTGTGAGAGTGGGTGGGAGCCTGGGTGGCAAGCAGGGCCAACTGGGTGAGCAGGAGCCTGGTTCTTGTCACTTACTGGAGTGCGGGGAAAGGAGAGACACATTATCTGACTCCTTTGCCTGTCCCTCTTTACTCTCACTTGGATTCCACCAGGCCCACCCTCCACCTCCCCACTCAAGTCAAAGGACCCTGAAACCAGGAAGGCGTCCAGACTGAGGGTTGAGGAGCTGGGGGGGTGGGAGCTGGGGGTGGACAGAGCCCACCCACCAAATGCCAGCCTTGAGCTAAGCAGATGGCACATCCCCTCTGCTGCCCTCTTCCACACCACTCCAGTGGAGTGGAGAAAGTGGCATGGAGAAAGCTGGGGGGAAGGGGCTTCCTGGGGGCAGTGGAGGCTGGCACCTCTGCATTTGCCCACTTCAGTGAGCACCAAGAAAGTGAGAAGTAAGGGGAGGAGACAGACACTCAGAGAAAGACAGGGACCCAAAAGACCAGAGACAAAGACTCAGAGAGGCCCTGGGGTCAGGCAGACAAGGAGGCAGGCTGACCCAGGGAGCCTGGGTCCCTGAATCCCACGGAGCCAGGGGCCCCTAAACCCACAAGAGATATAAATACTGGGCCCTGAGCGCCAGACACACAGGGAGCCAGAGCCAGGCCTCTGGAAAGGCAGGCCCAGCCAGCCAGGCTCCAAGAGCGGGAGCCTGAGAGAGAAGGAGGGGCAAGTGGAGGCTCCATTTTGAGAAATGCGCTGTGGCTCTGGGAAAGGGAACCCCTGGCCCTCCCCAGCACTCCCCGAGTGATCACGGGGGGCCCAGCACACACACACACACACACTCCCCCTTGGTGGGCCCGGGGGCAGCTGAGCGCTGGGTGCTGCTGGGGCCCGGGCAGGTCTGGCCAAGCTCAACTCCCACAGACCTGTTTTTGGGGGTGAAGAGTTGGGGAAAGTCTCCCCCCACCAAACTCCAAGGGCCAGTCAGGCGGGATCAAGTCCGGGGTGACGAGTTCCCATTCCCCGACAGGAAGCCGGGACCCCCAACCCACCCTCCCGCGCCTCCCCCCCTTTCCCCGCTTCCACTGCGTGGGGGCGGCTGCGGGCCTCCGCCTCCCCACCGGCCCTCCGCCGCGCCGAAGTTGGGGGCGCCCCCGGGTCGCCTCCCAGCCCTGGCGCCCCCTCACCTCCGCCGCGCCGCTCCATGCTCGGCCCGGGCCGCCCCCAGCGCTCCACAGGCGCGCCGCCCGGCTCCAGCCCGCGCGCGGCCACTCGGAGGCGCCCGGCCCGGCCCGGCCCCGCCTCCGCGGCGCCCCCGGCCCGACCGGCCCCCGTCCGGCCCGAGTGGGCGGCGCAGCGCGGGGGAGGGGTCCGAGGGGCGTCCCCGCCCCGGGCGCGGACGCGCGCAGCACCCCGCGTCACGCGAGGCCGGCGGGCTCACGCGGGGCCGCGCCGCGGGCCTCGGGACCCCCCCAAGCCCGGTGGGCTCGGGACTCGGCGGCGGCGGCGGGTCACCCTCTACCCCTACCCGGGCCCCGGGGCCGGCGGCGGCTGGTCATTGTTCCAGCACAAAGGGCCAGGCGCCACGGCGGCCGCCCTTCCCCCTCCGCTCCTCCGGTCGAAGCCTCCCCCGCAAGACACACTCCGGCTTCGGAGTCCCGAGCGGGGCGCGGAGGGCCAGCCCCCCCAACCCTCCCCGGCCGCCGGGCCCCTGCTCCCCAGGGCGGGTCGCGGACCCAGGCTCGGGCCGTGCCTGCCCCACCCCCAGCGGTGGAGGGAGGCAGATTCGGATTTGCGGAGGCGGCGCCACCTGGCGGCGCGTTCGGAGGATACGCCGCCACCCCACCAACTTTGGGGGCCCCTACCGGACTGCCCAGCACTGTACCCTACCCCCCGCGAGCCCAGGCCTGCCTCGCGCGCGGCCGTCTGCTCCCCAACCTTCCCTGAGAATCATTTGCTAAGAGAGGTCACTGCTGGGAGAGAGGCAGCCCCTGGCCCCCTGACAATCACTGGGGTGAGGCGGTCCAAACCTACAGTCAGAACCTACACCAGTCCCACAGCTGACAGCATCCCTCGGTCTTCTCAGGGTCACAGATAGTCTCACCCTCTCGCAAACAACACAATCTTCATAACACCCACACGACTTTTCCCACATTTGGTCCCACGCAGCCACAGTCTCCTCCATCACGTGATTCCAGGTTCCTTCCTTCCATAATCTTTCAGGCCAACTCACACACAGACACACTGAGTGTCACACACCTTGTGCACAATCTTTCACAAGGACTCAGAGTCCTTCCTACCGAGTCACAATCTTAAATGGGCTTCCTCTCCTAAACATCTTTAACACATTGGTGGTCTCATTCAGTCAGACAACTTACACATACCCATGGTGTTTCACGAGCATTTTTTTACCACAAAGACTTTTTTCCCCCCTGAGGGGTCTCTGGTCAGGTCAGCTGATGCCCACACCCCGGGCCAAGGACAGCCTCCCACCCCCTACTTGCATCCCCACCCCCAAGGCCAAGGCCTGCCAGAGCTCCTCTGCCCCAGGAAGGAGCATCCCCCCCTTCCAGGCCACAGCCCTGGCCAGCTCTCAGCTCTATTTTTAGCTCTATGGAAAGGGTTGTTTTTCTTTCTTTTTCCCTGGAAAGGGAGGCATAGCCCAACCACCCTCAGGCTCACCCCAGGCCCTGAGCCACATAAGAATAGACTGAGCCCCCCTCCCCAGTAGAGACCCCCTCCTCTGGCCTTGCCCTGATCCCAGCCTCTTGGGGCACCAGGAGCCTCCTCCCCTTTCTGGCAGCCAGCCCGGAAGCTCAGGCAGCAGCTGGGCTCAGCATGTGTGTAGGGGTGGAGGGTGGGGCAGAGAGGGAGGCCGAGGGCCGCTGCCCACTCCCTCATTCCCTGGGGGAGGGGGCTCATCCTCCCTTCTAGGGGAGGGGGATAGGTCCACTCCCGTACTTCGGGGACATTTACCTTTATGCATTCTCTGGGAAAGGAGGACTCCCACTCTCGCACGAGTGGGTTTTCGGCTCCTACAGTTGAAGGGAGGAGCTCCCAGTTCTGCAAGGAGGGGTGGTGGTAGGAAAGGGACCCACCGGCTCTCAGGCAGCTGCTCCCCAGACTGGAGGTATGGGGCCGGAGCTGCCGTATACTGCCACCCGAAATAGCGCCCTCCTCCGATACCTTCCGGGGTGAGGGCCCCACGAACGTGTTCGTTCGGGTGAAGGAAGGCAAGGAGCCCAGGTAACCCCACCGAGCCCGAGTCTCCAGGCCTGCGCTACCCGGACTCCAGGGGGCGTTGTGCTCCCATTTCTGGGGGAAGGCTTAACATTTCTTGAGGCGGAGAATGGAATACAGCCCGACCGGAGACCTCGGAGACTCGCCCAGGGTTGGGGAGGGAGGTCCTCGCCCTGAGGCGGGGGTGAGGGAAGCACAGCCCACTCGTCTGCGAAGCGATCACGTGCTCGGCGCCTGTTTACGTCTTAGTCTTCACCTGTGGGCGGCCAGGAAGCAGGAACCTCCGGGGGTGTCCCGCCCGGCCCGCCCCCGTCGGCGGTCACCGGGCAGCCCTTTTCTCCCACCCCTGCCAAGTACCGGACAGCAGAGCACCCTGTCAGCTGGGGGTCCGTGCGGGCCAGTGGCGCCGCTCCAGGGACTGCAAGGGTAACCCACTGGGCGCGTCCTCTCCTGAGTGCACGTGTGTCCTATGTGCGTGGGTCTCGGCGCGCGCGCGTGTGCACCCGTTGGCGTGAGTTTCCGTGTCGGTTCCCTGTTCAGGCTCCTCGCCTGCGGGCCCCCCGACCCCAGTGTGGGACCCTCTCCTCACTCCACTCCCTAGCTTCCCCAGACCGGGAAAGTTCGCTCCGGACCCGGCATGTGCGGGAGGCCGGAGTGCGGACACCTCCGCGGCCCCACCACTCACCCAGGCCACCTGCGCCGCCGCTGCCGCTCCCGCCCAGCTCCTGCTCGAGCGCCGGCACCTCTCCGCCGCAGATCTGCCGGCTCCCAGCCAGCTCCGGGCTCCGGACTCCCGGCGCCCGCCGGGCCCGGCCTGGTGGAACGGGGCGGGGCGGGGCGGCTGAGGCCGCGCCCCCGACCCAGGGAGGGGAGTGGTCTGCCCAGCACCCCCTCTACCGCGGACCCGGTACCCAGTCCAGCAGTAGCTCGGCGGTGGCCGGAGGTTGCCCCTCTGGCCTCCGACTTCACAGCTTTCTGGATTTGGTTTTCGACCTGGGGAAAGGGGCGAACAGCACGTGACCGGGAGCTAAACTACCTGGCCGCCCTAACCAAGTTGACGATAGGACTTTACTGCTACCTGCCCTACCCTGTAAGGAGCCAAACCGGGTCGGCTCTCCTCTCATTCCCCAGGAACAAGGAAAACCCCTAGGAAGCAGACAAAGAAGGCTCGGGTTTCACTAAAACAGACCCCACCCCACCCTCTGGTCGGAATTGCCCTAGCAGAACCAGCCCCTTCCCCCCTCCCCGCAGTAGGTGCCTACCCAGGTGAGCATACTTGCCAGTTCTGGCCCCGCACAGAGCACGGCCAGGCTTCCCTTACACTCATAAAGTTCCACCCACAGGCACAAACAGGAAGTTGCCCTGTATTGCAGGAAGGCACCTAGGGCTCCATCTGTGGCACCCGAGGCAGCCTGTGGGAAGGCACAGACTGTCATCTACAGGTATCTGAGCCTTACTTGCAGCAAGAGTATCTGCACAGGAGGAGTCCAGTGAATTTAATCTCTTCTCCAACTCACCTGCAGTAAAGAAGCTGAAAAAACGACACTAAATCTGAAGACACGGCTGAAGATCCAGCTGGACCCAGCTGGGCCAGGCCCTTCCTAAACTCTCAGGGTGATTCTTAATATCCGATTGGATAAAGAGCCCGGGTAATTTGCCTCAATCCACTCTGGTTGGGTACAGGGACAGTGGCTACCAGGGACCTTATTCAGGACCCAGGGATCCCCTACTGCTTTCTAGGCTCCAGGGACTTCTGAACATACTTTTGGCTAATCTTGATGTGAGTTTAAGACAGGTGTGCAATGGAATGTGTGTGTGTATGGGGTGGGGTTGGGGGAGTGTTCATCATTTCTCCTCTCCCATCATTCTGATTTGTGCTTTGTGTGTGTGTGTGTGTGTGTGGGGGTGTCTGCTAGGAGGGTGGGGCAAGACAGGCAAGTGCGTGTGTATCTATCCTTCTATCCCCAATTCACAGAGACCTCACAAAAGTCCCCTAATGGAAATAGCTAAAGGATTTTCTGAGAACACACCAGGCCTTCCAGTAGACCAGAATCCTTAAGAGGTAGGAATGACCTGGTGGTGTACATCTGGAAGGCATGGCTCACATTCAATGTTACAGACCCTGGATGAGGCATAGACCAGCCAGCGGCTGGGAATGATTACTGCAGGATTAGGAGGCCTGGCTCCAGCCAGTCTGGGAGAGACCCCCAAGAAGGGAGGCCCTGGAGGAACTACCCCCTCCCTCCACCCCAGGTTCTTCCCCAGAGAACAGCTTTGTTCCAGGGTCTGTTTCAGGAGATAATTGTAGTCAGTCCTCACAACAGACCAGAGACCCCAGAGCCTTCTACAGGGCCCCAGAGGCAGCCCTCTTAGGTAGACCAGAGAATTCAAGGCAGCAGGAAACCTCTGCCCATCCTTACAAAAGCCTTCTCCCCAGCCTCCTCACAACATTTTGCATTCTGACCATTCTTGCATGCAAATCTAAAGGGAAAATGGGACTTTAGTATATCAGAGTGAGATGGGAAAAGTGTCCTCCCTTGGGACTATTTCTGAGTAGGTCTCTAACTTTACAATCTCCTTCAGTACTTGTTAAAAATGAGGAATTCTGTACCTTTTCTGAGACCTCCAGAATTAAAAATGTCTGTGTGTGTGTTTATTGGGGGGGGGGAGAGTAGGCCCTAGGTTCTACATTTTTAAAGAGTCCCAGGAGTTCTGACACATACAAACATAAGAGAAACACTGAGTGTACAAGGATGAGGGAAGTGGGTGGGGAGCCAGATAAGAAGACACTGAGCATGATACCACACTGAGAGGTCAGTGAGTGGCTTCTATCACCTAGGGACAGCTGGTCAGGGAAGGAAGGCCTAGGCATGTGGTCCGGTGACCCACAGCTTTCACATGGAGATCCTCAGGGAAGACAGGGATAAAGAGGCACCATCCTCTGTCATCCCTAAGCCAAGAAGACACGTAAAGGGATATGAGGGTCAAGGCCCTTTAATGCCCCTGCTTCCTTGTAGTACACAGTTCAAAGACTCCCAATTCCAAGCAAGAGGAAAATCCAGTTATAGACTGGGGAGACACCTGGTGGACAAAGAGGAAAAAACACAGAAACAAAGGCAATGGAAAAAAATTTTTTTTTCAGTAAAACTAGAAAAGGCTCTACAATCATTTGAGGCAGCATAACATGGAATCATTGTCCAGGTGGCAGGCACTCTGAGCTCACAGTTTTCTTTCATGGCTCTCTGGCCAGCTTCCACTTCTGGGGCCTTGATATTACAGGGCCAAGCACCTAGGATCCAATGGTGGCGAGTGCCACCTCGTGGCAGGGTCCAGAGTGGGCAGCAGAGGAGTCTGGTACCCACCGTGTCAGCCTTTGGCTCCAGAAACCTAGACTGGAGTTTTGGCAAGTCCTCTATTCCCTTCCAGGTTCAGGGGGCCTGAACTCAGTGCTTTGAACTCCATTTACTCATTCCCACCTCATGGCCTCTGTGTCTAATTTTCCCTCTGCTTGGATCGCTCTTTCTCCAGATGTTCCCCTGGCTCAGTCCTAGTTCTTTAGACCCCAGCTCCAATGTCCTCTGTTGAGAGATACCTGTTTAGACCTTAATCTAAACTAGCTTGTAAGCATTATTGCATGACTTTTTTCTTCATAGTATATCTCACTGTCTAAAAAACACATTTTGTGTTTATTACTCTTCTTGTCTCCTTTACCAGACTGCAGATTCTAGGGAAGCAGGGTCCTCATCTGTCTTGTCAGCGCTGTAGTCCCAGTACAGGCACACAGAAGTTCTCTTGCTGAATTGAATTCTCTCTCAGTATGGAACTCTGCTCTAGGTTAGGCTCCTCTGACTGGAGAGCATCCTTAGCTTAGGACTGAAGGACAGAGATAGCCTTAGCAGAGGGCTAAGAAAGTCTGTGTCCCAGCCTATCCTGTCAGGCTCATTTCAGTGTTCAGCTCTGCACTGCTTTCACCTTGAGGGCTTGGAGAGGTCTGGCTGATAGGGGTGGTGGGACTGACCCAAGCAAGTCTCAGAATTCTGGGGCACAGCCCCTTTTTTGCCAGAGGAGGGCTTCTTGGTCACAAGCCCGTTGTCATCCTTGACCTTCTTGAGCCGAGCCTTGCTCTTGGGTGGTATGGAGAAGGTAAGAGAGCTCTTGTTGAATTCAAGTGGAAAGACACCTACGTCTCCATCAAAGCGGTTCTTGGACACCTGCAGATACCGTTTCCCTGGACCAGTTACCAGCTTCCTGTCCTGTAGGATCAGAACATTGTCTGCTTCCTGGCTTGCCTGGGGAATGGGGGCAGGAGGAAGGAGCAGTGAGAAGACATGAAAAGCAGAAAGGAAGGCTGAAGGTCCAGGGAAGAATGGAAAAGCTCCTGGGACTACTGACCATGATGCTGGGGCCACTTGAGTCTTTCAGTTCCTTGACTACCTCACTGCTGCCCCAGATTTTGTACACGCTGTTCCCTCTGCTGGTAACACTTCTCCTCCACAGCTTACCACCCTCACTTAACCCCAGCTTATCATTCACGTCTCGGTCTAAATGTCACAGTTCATCAGGGACCATTCTTGATCTTCATAAAGAACCACCATCTTTCCACTTCTGCGTCACTCTCTTCCCTAGCTCCATGTTTGTTCCATTGTGGCACAGTTCGTGCTCCTCACCCTGTATTCCCTGTGCCCAGCCCAGGCCTATTGAGTGACAGGCCCTCAGCATATCCCTGGAAGTTCCAGGATTGGGCTGGTCCTGCTGCCCAGAAGGCCCTCCTATTAATTCGATTATTTAACACTAACTGTCAGCCAAAACTCAACCCAACCTCTGTTGACACACCCTTTCCCCAACTGGGTGAGGAAGTCTCCTCAGATGTCCCAGGCTGACCCAGATGTCTTGTTTCCCAAATACCTTTGTTGCTCTTATATAGAGTAATAATCACTATTTTCCCCACGGGACAATGTGAGCTCCTAAAGGGCAAGGAGGGCAAAGGACCAACTATTATCAGCCTTTATATTCCTAGTACATGTGTTTCTTATGTCATGGCCCCAGAGGCTGCTGTCTCCTGCCTCTTCCAGGTGGATAGTCAAGAGGATTTAAGGCTGAATAAAGGCCATGCCTGGTCACACCTGCCCCCTCTACTCTCCAAAGCTTGAGCTCCTCTAAAGGCCACTTACTTTGGCTGAGCCAAAAATTGATGCTGTCTGCAGTTCCTTATCATCATCCTCTTTCCGGGGATGAATGACCAGTGTCACATGGCAGCTATTGTCTGTTGCAAACTTTCGAAAGGCCCCAACGATGTAGTCTTGAGCTGCAATCCTGTCCCAACCCCAACAAAGTAAAGACATTATCAGACACAGACAAAAGGACATGAACATACCCATACTGCTGATTCATTCACATCTCCCCACAAACCGCCACGACCCCACTCTACCCAAGGACTCACACTTAGGTCCCTATCTATACTTCCCACTGCCACAGCCCACATGTCTGAAGACAAAAATACACATGGGGTGGTGTGTGCCAGCACACGTGTCAGAAAACAAGAGAGTACAGTGTGTGCCTAGGGGCCAGCTGCCTGAGAAGACATGTGTGTTCAAGTGGGTTCCAGTGAGACAAGAGAATATCACCTGTCTGTGGACAACTGCTCATGCCCCATCATGAACTGCAGATTGTCGATGACCACATGGCAGATGTCATAAACGTATACTGCATGTTGCATTGTGTCTATTACAGTCCTGGGAAGAGGAAGAGGCAATGAATTCAAGAGTCAATCACAAGCAGTCTCCCACCAGAGAAGCCAGCATTCCTGAAAATTCTGCTGGAGATTTGTTCTTCTGCCCTCCCATTCTTTGAAAACCCTAGGCCTCGGAAATCTCACCTGATGCTCTGCTGCCCATGGAAAGTCATGAAATAGAGAGGCAGGTCCTCAAAGCGGTCGGCCCACTCGTCGTATTTGTCCAACTGCTCTTCTAGCCGCCCCACAGCGAACTGTGTCAGCATGACTCGGGCTAGTCTCACGTTGCTGATCTCAAAGCTACCCCACAGTGTGTTTACCCCCTGGGTACACAAATCCAGGGCATACTCACTGATGAATGTCGTCTTTCCACTGCCTGTTGGCCCTGCAGGGGGGTTGAACACAGACCTGGGTGAGGGAGGAAAGTTCTACCCTTAAAACCAAGACCGGAGCAAGGGCTTCAAAGTTGGGAGAAACATCCTCTTTAACATTTACCATGGCCCAATCCTACTTGATTCTGTCACCTGATCCTTTGCCTCTTACCCCAAGTAGTGATTTCCCAAGGGCTCACCCGTGAAGACTGTTAGCTCGCCCTTCCGATGTCCCTTCAAGAGACGATTGAGGTCTGGGAAGCGGTTCCAGCGGATGCCAGCTGCCTGCTCCACATTTGACAGTTCTCCTAGCACCTCCTCCCGAAGCTGCCGGAAAGACACAATAGACTTGTGCCAGGCAGGCAGGGCAGTACGCAGAATACGAGAAAGATTCAAACCTCTGTTCAGGGCCTCCAGGGGACGGGGCTGCTGGTCCCCAGGCCGCACCAAGGAGCATCGCTTGGGATTCAGTTTTCGGGCAAACAACTTGGCAGCTTCCCAGGACCGAAGGTCATCTCCCAGCCAGAGCACAATACGTCGAAACTGTTCGAGGTAAGGGAGCAAGGCAGGAGGTAAGCAGGCTATTCCTCGGGGCAGGGCCAGGGTGGGCAGCCCTGTGGCTTGGTTTAAGGCCAAGCTGTCCAGCTCACGACTCGTCAATACCACCTCAACATCTCGCCGACTGATCAGTGGTAATCCAAACAGATTGTAGTAGACACCAGGCCGGGGAATGGTGGTTTCCTTATACTGCACTCCGTCTCCCTGGCCTTCGGCACCTAGTAGCTTCAGCCCTCGTAATCCCACACCTCCAGGGGAGAGCCAAGGGAAGACAAGGCTGCGAGCAGACCACAAATACCGCACATTGAAACGCCTGAGCGTGTCATCAGTCACTTTGGTAAGGCCAAACATCACACGAGCCAGCTGGCCCTCCACCGGCTCAGGCAGCTCCCAGAGAGGTATGGCTCGGTCCCAGATCCTCCGGACCTCCTCACTGTCCTCAGCTTCTGGGGCCTCACCGAGCAGGATCCCTTCTCTCGCCCCATCCCCTTGCCCCTCCACGCTGGCCTGAAAGTCTTCCCAGCTCCCCTCTGCTAGGCTGGTCATGCAGAGAAAGCGGCCTGTGGTCTTGTCAATGAAAACGCTGAAGGAAGCAGTAGCACCACTCTGGTCCTTGAGCTCCAAGGCCTTCACAAAGGGGCTTGGTGCCCGCAGGCAGCTGTGGCCATCCTGGAAGGGGATCCCATGTGCCCGCAAATATTGGCGGATTTCAGTTGCAGTTACGGGCAACACTGGTACCTCCAAGGCTGGGAGAGCCTCCTTCCTGTAACGCCTGCGAGGAGGGCCTGGGGCCAAGCTTCTGGGCAGGCCCCTCCGACCCATCCACTCCGCACGCAGGGGCAGCAGCATACGGAGGGGGTACCCGCCTCGAAGGAGTACCCACATTCCTAGTGCAGTCGAGGGAATCACTGTTTGTAATGCCTTCAGTCCCTGCTTCGGGTGCCTTTACTAGCTCAGACTCTAGGGATCCTCTGCACAGCACTCTACAGAGCCCACTCGAGGTAACTTCTTTCTTGCAACTTCTCCCTCATAAATATCTCTTCGAACCCTCTTCAGGCCCTCTGCATTGCTACTTCACATCTACGCTCATCTACAGGAGCCTTTCGTGTCCGGTGCCCTGTACAGCCGTCGCCTCACCTCTACGACCCTCCACACTGCCCCCTCCGCTGTGCTTTCTCTAGATCATCTCTTTACCACTCCCGCTCCGCCAGGAGATCTCTTCGCCGTCCCCATCTCTACTGCCGCCTGCGTCGTTCCGGGCTCCGATGCGCTAGAACCCAAGTGGAGGCCCTCCTCGCCGCTCCTTCCCTCAAAGGGGTCCCACCACGACTAGAGCGCCACCGGGCGGCTCCCGCCAGTCCCCGCGCTCACTTCGCCCCCGCGACCGTGTCCTCCCTCGGCGCTACTGCCAGAACGTATGCGGCTCGCAACCTTGACCGCGTCTCACTACCCTCCTCTCGCCACTCTAGCCCACAACGTGGGTCACTGGCGCGCCTCCCGCGGTGACCGCGGAAGCAAAACTCCTGCGCGCGGGTGTTCCCGGAACCGGAAGCTTGGGCCTTTGTCCCGCCCCCGCCTCTCCAAGCTCGACTGGGCTGCCGGAGCGCCGTGGCTATGACGGCGCGCGGGACCCCGAGCCGCTTCCTGGCCAGTGTCCTCTACAACGGGCTGGGCCGGTACGTGCAGCAGTTGCAGCGTCTCAGCTTTAACCTCAGCCGCGATGCGCCCTCGTCCCGCGGTGCCAGGTGAGCCAGGCGAACGGCGCGGGGTGCTCTCCGGGCAGAGGTCGCCCAGGGTCGGGTCTCTGTGCTTATTCTTCTCGGCTTCCTCAGGGAGTTCGTGGAACGGGAGGTGGCCGACTTCGCGCGACGGAACCCGGGGGTCGTAATATACGTGAACTCGAGGCCGTGCTGTGTGCCCAGAGTAGTGGCCGAATACCGTGAGTGGGGCGGGACGGGGGTTGGAGGGCGGCATGGGGGCGGGGTCGAGGGGAGACTCGGCCGGCTCGCTTCTCTCTGCTCTGACTCCTGATCCATCTGCTTTCTCTCCCCGACCCCGTCCCTTTGTCCAGTTAATGGGGCAGTGCGCGAGGAGAGCATCCACTGCAAGTCAGTCGAGGAGATTGCGACGCTGGTGCAGAAGCTGGCGAACCAGTCGGGCCTGGATGTGATCCGCATCCGCAAGCCCTTCCACACTGACAGTCCTAGCATCCAGGGCCAGTGGCACCCCTTCACCAACAAACCGACATTGTTGGGTGGGCTACGCCCGCGAGAAGTCCAGGATGCTGCGCTAGCCCAGGCGCAAGTGCCGTAAAGAGTTGCCCCACCAACTGCAATCTTGGGCTCTGGACTCTTACCTCAGTGGAAGTGGTTCTTCCTCTTTCAGAGGAATTCCAAGCCCACGCAGGCAGATGGAGACCCCCAAAAGAGACATTGACGCCAAAGCTTTTGCTTGGGATAAAGAAGAGTTCTTCATTGCTCAGGATGAGGGGCAGTGACTTTGTTAGTCTCCTAATTCTTCCCTGTTTGACATCCCTGAAATCTGACCATTCAAGGATATTGCAGGCATTTATTTCTGAAATCCAGATTGATAAGAGTGATCTCAAATCCTGGTGAGGGGTTTCAAGGTTGGCTTCAGAAGAGCCCCCAGTGCCCTCTTTTTACAACCATTGAGCTAGAGAGCTAGCTAGCCCCTTATACTGTGCTGTGAACCTGGCATTAGGATAACCATTTTATAGCTGTGTGAGTGTTTAGATTAGAAAAGTAAGGTTAATAAACTTGCCCAAGGTTACACTTGAGGTCTTCAAAAATATGTGTAGATTTTAAATATAACCCCACTTTTCATTATCCTAAAATCAGAAATGGAACATACGACCCTTCAGGATGGTTAGTACCAAAGGCCACGTGATTAATCTAGTACTGACCCTTGGAGAGATTCTCAGGCCAGATTCCTGGTAATAAGCTTGCCCTGATCCCAACTACTCTCCAAGGCCCCTCTGCAGAAATGAATTCATGTTGTCTCTTGATAGGTGAGGGGAGGTACTGAAAGCTTCTTGGAGGTGAGCAAGAGAACTGATAAACAGGGAGCATCTTTTAGACTTAGCTAAAACAGAGGAGTGGAATGGTAAGGAAAAGAGCCAGGAGATAAAAACCTAGAAAGCTTTGTATGAATTCTTGAACGGTTGTAATTTGTCGTGCTCTTACCATCCTGATCAGTGAATAATGAGAGCCTTGTAAAGACCTATATACCTGCCTAGAGCAGCCAAATGGAAGCTGAGGATCCCAGTTTTCTCTGCAAATGGTTTTATGGGGAGCAGAACCAACCCTGCAGCACTGTTTCCATAGGCTCAGAAGCCTAGTGATCAGGAAGGCCAGTCTAGACCAAACGGAACACACATAGCTGTGGGGAAAGAGGGTATTTATTAACCAACAGGAGGGGGAGGAGCTGAGCCCAGGCTCCCCACTCTGTCACATGCCTGTTCTGCCCACCTAGGTGGTTTAGTGGGGGCATTCATAAAGAAGTGTAGCCGTTCTCACAATAAATACATTCATTGTGGGGTGGAGGTGGGAGAAGTTGGGTGAAGGGCAGTAAAAATCCGTGGGGATTCCACGTTCTCAGCTACAAAAATAACAGTCATCCTCACCCAAGGGGAATGGGGGAACTCAGGATTTGATTGTCCCATATGGGCCTGGAGACTTCAGAGGCCCCTGGACCCTGAAAGTGCCCCGGTGAGGTAGGACAGGGATGGGAGCCAAGCATCCAAACTCCCAGCCTCTGCCCTTTGCATAGTTCCAAGAACGGGCTTCATGTGCCAGGTGAGACATCAGATCTCCTCCCCCTGCTCTGGTCTAGGGGTAGCAAATGCTTGGTCCCCAAAAGAGAGACTGGCTCATTGCAGTGTTGGTCACCCGTCCTGGGGAATTGTCTGAGAGGACAGCTGAACGGGAGAGGGCTCTCCCTCTGAAATGTCCATGGACCAAACCCAACAGACACAGGTCCGAGGCAGCAAAGGGAGGCTCAGAAATGCATGTGGAAATGTAAGCACATGTGCATGAAGGGACATGCCTGGGGCTCTGTCACCCTTGAGAGATGACCAACAGGGTAGGGAGGCTGACTCACGAGGGCTGCACATTAAGGAGAAGGGAATGACACAGTCTTCCTTTCCCAGGCTGGCCTGTTCCCAAGCTCTTGCCAAAGAAGTCACATGGGGCTGGAACTAGGGGACAGGACTAGATAGGATGGGATGTGGCAATTGGAAGGGTACCCAAAGTCCAGGGGAGATGAAACAGGAATGCACCAGGAAATGGGGGTGGGGGCCCTGCAGCCCAGCTGACAGACATTCATCCATGTGCATGTGTGAATGTGCGCAGGGCTCAGGTGGCTCTGGTGGCTGGCAGAGGTCTGGTTTCGGGACCGTCCAGCACAGAGGCCATGCAGAGGGTGGTGATGTTGAGGTCATCTGGACCTGCAGAGCCCTGCCTGGGAGAAAGAGGAAGGGTTAGGGGGCAGGAGGATGGCCTCCTCTCCTCCCAAGTGTTTGGGTTAAAGGAATAGGACCTGGGACTGGGTCTACAGAATACCAGGCCCTGAGGGAGTACCCACCTCTGAGGAGCACCGGTTGGCCTGGGCTGCTCACAGATGGGTCTGTGAAGACTGAGGAGGGGGCTTTGGCTGGGCCTGACTCTGCCAGCCCTACAGGGACATCAAAAAGTTGGGAGAAGGGCCTGGAGTTGGGGGGGGTGAAGGTAGAGTGGCTGTGTTGGGGAAGCAGCAGCCCACCCTGGAGCAGACAGGCTGGCTTGGAAGAGCATTGTCCTAGGAGGCTGGGCTCAGACAGAGCTCTCATCCAGGTGCTCTACGAGCTGTGTGTGTTTCCTTTTCTCCAGGATGCGGCTGAGCTCCTCAGCAAAGGAGCAGGGCCCTGCTGGCACTCCATTGTTGCTCTGCCTCAGGAGCACGTAGCTGTTGCCATTCATCCTGCGCAGCCGGCTGGGAAGAGCCACCAGCCCATTGGTCAGCTCAGCCGGTGGGGGTGGGGGTGGTGGAGGCGGGGGGGCTGGGGCTCCCTCCCCAGGGATGATCTGGAGGCAGCCACCTTCCAGGCCCCCAGCCCCCTCGCCATCATCGCCCTCATCTTCCTCTTCAGGACACTGGCCTGAAACAGTCTGCAGCTGCACAGCAGAGCCCCCTGCCCGGCCAGCCCGACCCAGAGAGTATTTTCTTCGACGTCCTCGTCTGCCTCCTTGAAGACAGGCCACGTAGAGGAGGGAGGAAGCTAGGATGAGGCAGAGGCCCCCAAGTGCAGCAATGGCTAGCACGTAGAGCAGCCTTACGTCAGGTGCCAGCTGTGCCCCAGGCATGGCAGGGGCTTGTGGAGCTGGGGCAGGAGTCGCTGGCCGGACTGTGAGACTGTAGGAGGCCAGGAGGGTACGGAGGCCATTCTCCTCAGCATAGCAGCCATAGTTGCCACTGTGCTCGGGCTGTATGTCTGTCACCAACAACCCGTCCACACCCACACGGTAGCCGTGCTGCCCATCGCTTAGGCCCATGCTTCCATTGAGCAGCCACAAGGCCCGGGCCAGGTTGGATGGCTGGTCACAGGGCAGAAGGACATCATCACCTCGGAGCACAGAGCGCATTTTCAGTGGTGGTGGTGGCCCTGGAAGGGTGAGTGAGAGACAGGAGTAGTCAATGCTTGTCTATCTCAGGGAAGGCACTGGAGATAGCACACCAGATGGTTCACTGTCCGTATCTCTGGCACCAAACATAGGAACTGGAATCATGGTGACATCTAACCAAGGTCTCCTGCACCTCATGTTCCCACATAAGGTTTGCAACCACCCAGTGGTTTCAATTCCTGCAATCTGCCAGTGATTCATAATCTCGACCTCTAGCAGAGTTCTCTCCTGTCAGACTTGAACATCTTTCACCTGCAGGGCATCTCCATAAGAGGCCTCTTGGACATGGCATAGGAACTAAGGCCAGAGCCTCCCTTCCAAATGATACCAGGTCTTTTCCTTGAATTGTCAGAGCAGCGAATGGTACCATGAGCTACTCAGCTGCTTAAATCGCAGAGAAATCTGGGGAGGAGTCTCTTTTGCTTCTCACCTTTGTATCTAACCCTCACCAAGATTCTGCTTCCAGAATCCATCTCAGACCTGTTCACTTCTCTCCTTCCCAAACTGGGGAAGCTGGCCCACTCTGGCCCATATCTAATCCATTCTCCATGAGCAATGGGGGTAGCCTTTTATTTTAAAGATTTTATTTATTTATTCCTTGAGAGACAGAGAGAGAGAGGAGCAGGCTCCATGCAGGGAGCCCGACGTGGGACTCAATCCTGGGACTCCAGGATCACACCCTGGGCCAAAGGCAGGCGCTAAACCACTGAGCCACCCGGGCTGCCCCAGGTAGCCTTTTAAAAACACCATACTGATTAGGCCGCTCCCCTGCCTTAACATGGTCCCTGCCCACTTCTCCAGCCCCTTCTCAAACACATTAAGCTCATCTGCTGCTGTTCATTCTGCTTGGGTGTATCACCCCCCCCCCTTTCTATTCCCTCCACTGGTTCCTTTGGAGGAAAGAACACAGCAGTGATGAAAAGCATAAACTCAAGTCAGGCTGCTTGGGGTCAGGTTTGAATTCTGACCCTGCTACTTAATAGCTTACTAACTTTGGGCAGTTTACCTATTCTCTCTGTACTTCAGAGACATTGCCTCTCGAGGGGATGGAGATTGTGACACCTGCCTCCCAGGAATGCTGTGAGTCTGAGAGAGACTATGTGTGTGTGGTCAGTCGGTGCCTGGAGCAAGTACTCAGTACACGTTAGCTGTGACTATTAACTTTTGCTCTCCAGGCATCAGCTCAGTCATCTGATTTTCCTTAGGGAAGTATCCATTATCCTCAAACACTTGTCATAGTTGCAAGTATTCCTTTTGTAACAAAAACCAATGAAAATAATTACTTGCCGCTTCATTTAATTGTCTGTACCACCCTCTCCCTTGGCTATAAGCTCCAGAAGTGACAGAAAACTTCATGTCTTGAGCCTGTCTCCTCATTTATGATTTTTTAAGGCAACAACTGTCTGTGAAGCACTTACTCTGTGCCAAACTCTGCTGGGACGTCCTTGCTGAAAGCCCACAGACACAGCCATTCAGAGACACACACTGGCAGATAAATGGCAATAAATGTAAAGAGGCCAGGCTGTGTAGCCAGGCCTACATACGTCCATGGAGATCACCTACCTGTGTCCCTGTTGCCTTCGCAGCCTCGGTTTCCTCTCTCCATGTCCTGAATCAGTGTTGTCCTGGACACAGGAACAGGAGGACTGAGCTTTAGTGTTCCCTAGTGGCAGGGCCTGGGAGGCTGTCACCAACAGCTGCCCCCGCTTTCCCTACAGCTGGCAGGCCCTGATCCCCTGCTTACCAGGGACCCTCACCTCCCTTAACCACACTTCTCACCTGCTACCTTGGGACCTGTTGAATACGGTGCAGGCATGGGTGCTGGGGTTCCAGCCACAGTAGGGGTCCCGGGCCAGGATGCAGTCATAGCAGGAGCGATAGCGGGAGCAGCTAGACAGTGGTAGCTGGATGACTCCACTAGGGGCCCCCACGTAGAGGCTATGCTGGGAGCCAGAGAGGAAAGCTGGTTGGCAACACCCTCAACTCCCACCTACAGACACACATGGTCACTGCCCAGCCATCTATTTCCTCTCCCTATTCTGGTAAGGCCATATTGAAAGTCATGAGTCAGAGGCTACCTGCATTGGAGAGATGACCAGATTTTCCACAGACTGGGGCTCCTTGAATACTTGCGTCTCTTCGATAATGTGCATTCCAGAGCCCAGCACCACAGCCTTGTGGATCCAGCCATCAGCTGGTATGGAGAGAACAGAGGATCAGAACCAAATAGTGGAATCTGGTTTTGGCCTCCTGTAATATCCTAATGGGAGCAGCTTGGGAGTCATGAGGTCAGGGACAAGGCTTCAGCCAGTAGCAGTTCCTCAGGGCACTGGGAACTCTGGGCTAGTCATGGCAGAAATTATTGGATTCAGAAGCATTAGTGATCAGGGCCAAATGTCACTGTGTTTGGTGACAGGAGTCAGCAGTTACCAACGGCCAGTAGTGAGTGTTCATTGAAGAATCAATATCAATGGTCACCGGGGCTTCATGATTAAAAGTCATCCAGGGGATTAGCGGTCAACGAAGATCAAGGACTCAGTTAGCAAAGGGCTCAGACCAAGGGTCAGAAGTACCTGTGCCCAGAAACAGCAGGTCATAGGTGAGCCCGGCAGGCGTGGTGACAGGTGTCCCTGTGAGGTGTGTATAGCGCACACTGCGCTTGAGCAGCAGGGGCCGTCCGCGTGTGGGCACCACGGGCCGAGCCATCAGTGGGTGCAACTTCACAAAGTCCAGGACCAGGGACGGCAAATCCTGGGATGAGTTGTAGCCGCGGGTGCGCAATGAATCTGTGATGCACTGGAGTGGGTGGGGGGCGGACAGAGGTGGTGAGCCTCAGCAATCTACTGCCTGCCCATCCCCCATCAGCCCCAAGGCTAGATCCTTCTGCCCTCCCAGGGTTCTGTCTACCCAGCGCCGACCCCAGACTTGGGGACTCACTGAACCAGGCCGGGGCTCCGGCACCCCACCCTCATAGCGGCCCCAGCGCCGGGCACCATCCTGGTATTCCATGTAGGGACCTGCGAAGACAGCCTGCAGCTCGGCCAGGTCGTAGCGGCAGATGGCTGAGGCCTCTAAGGTCTTCCTAGGAAGGGGACATAGGAAAAGGTGTTGAGTCACACTGAGTGGGACTTGCTACCTGCCGAGTCTGGAGCCCACTGCTACCCTGGCCAGCCCCAGCTCTAGGCCTTAGGGCCTCTCCTAAGAGTCAGTAGGCCACTGTGGCCTCTGGCCCCAGGTTAGCTGGGTGTACCCGAAATTCTCTCTCAGCAGCCAGCCGCCCCCACAAGGGATCCTCTCGTATCCTCACTGACCTCTCTGCTCTAACCCTCGTGCTGTCCCCAGTTCCTTATCTCCCCACTATCCCTGCACTCACCACTGTGTGGTCAGTGTGAAGGCCGCATAGAAGTGCGTGTGGGCTGAGGTGTCAGCGTCCAAGCTGCAGACAGCACGTAGCATCTCATACTGTGGAATGTGACAGATGAGACGTGCCTTTAGGAAGGAGGTCCACTTCTTCTGCAAGATCTTCTTTCCTCCCAGGTCTCCCTGAAGAGATAGGGGCACAGAGTCAGGGGTCAGATTCAGGGGTTCAGCTTCTACACTCTTGCCCTGAACTTGGTCCTACTCACCTTGCACACGCGGGCCACACGGGCCACACGGTGGCTGTTGCGGCTTTGAGCAAAGCTGTTGGGGCCCTCGTCAGTGGCACGCTCCGTGAAGAAGTAGTAAACTTTGTCATCGTCACCCACTGCACTAGTCTCACTCTCCCGCACCAGGACAGAGAACACAAACTCAGCATCTGTGGGTTAGGCAGTTAAAGTGGCCTCAGACAGGCTGGGGATCCCCTCCACTACTACCCCTCGCTCAGCAGCACACAGGAATAGACAGGTTCACCTGGGAGTTTAGGGATGGGATGGTCAACTGCCCAAGGGAGGAAAGATGAAGAAATAGTCCCCTGCCCCCCATCATCCTGTGCCTCATCCTCCTGACCATTGAGCCAGTGCATCGGAGCCTCCTCGGTCCTCAGGGAATGTGGGTGTCGGCTCCGGCGGATGTCAGGGATGCTCCGGAATTCATACCGGGTGGCTGTGTAGAGGCCTCCATCTGGAGCAGAGACATGCCAAGCATGACAGACATGTCACATACAACAAGGCGCATAATACACATGGGTGGCAAGTCCTAGCAATGAGATCCATGCCCCACAAACAGCATGCTGGTAGAGGAGGAGCTAAGGTGGGGAGGAGAGCATGTTCACCAATGATGAGGCCTGTGAAGCCACGGGCTGGGTCGTAAGGACATTTCTCCTTCCCCTCTTCAAAGCTTGTTGGCAAGGTGAAGGCCTCAGCATCCTGGGGAAATATGGGGTCAGAAGTCAGTGGTCTGGAGGACATGAGGGGTTGTGGCCTGGAATCAGCAATCAGGGCTGGGGCAGGCATACTCACAATGGCTGCACAGAGGGGCTGGAAGGCATGAGTTCCGCATGCATAGAAGTGGGTAGCATTGAGCCGCTGAAGGAATCGCACGTGGTTGAAGCACTCCGTCTATGGAGTAGGTGGGGGAGGGCTGTGAGACCTTTTCCATTAATCAATCCAGCTTTTTTTTTTTAAGATCTTATTTATTTATTCATGAGACAGAGAGAGAGAGAGAGAGAGAGAGAGAGAGAGAGAGAGAGAGAGAGATTGGCAGGCAGAGGGAGAAGCAGGCTCCATGCAAGGAGCCTGATGTGGGACTCAATCTCGGGTCTCTAGGATCACATCCTGGTGGCACTAAACCGCTGCGCCACCGGGGCTGCCCATCAATCCAGCTTTGTAGTCCGCCTCTTGCCCCCACCCACCGGACATGGTTCTTTCTGAGATTCCAAAGGGTCTGTTCACTGCCCAGAACACAGAATATTCCCTGAAACTCACTGTCCTTTGGCTTCCCAGTGGCAAGACCCCTCTTCTCTCTGCTCTCTCACTGTTAGGATGATCTGAAACACTTTGCCAGCTTCTCCTACATTTCCGGCAGTCCTCTGCATCCCCAGTCCTGGCCCCCCCACCCAGGTTCCCTGCTACCCTGGAATGCTTCTCTCACATCTTCTCATCAGTGCCCCCGAGTCCTGGAGTCCCCACGCTCCCTCTGGGGTGACACTACCAAATCGGTCCCCAGGTTCTGGCCATCTCTCCACCTGATAGCCCACGGAAAAATCAAACTCACCAACTCACAAACCAAGCTTACTCCCTCCTCCCTAACCTGTACCTTCCCTCCTAAACCTGTTCATCCAGTCCTTCCCACCTTACTTCATCCATCCATCCTATTACTCAGTCCAGATACGAGGAGTCATCCTTGATGCCTTCCATTCTCTCACCCCCATGTTCGGTCCTTCTCTAGGATTCTTTGCTGTAAGTGTCTCCTCACGTGGTCCACTTCCCCTCCACCTCCACCACCCTCCTAGTCCACATTACCGCTGTCCCCTCTTCCCTGGATAAATGTAGAGATTGCCTGACTGTTCTCCGAAGCTGCTGTGACTCTATAAAAGCTACTTATTTATTCAGCGAATGAGGAATATAAGTACACAGTGTAAAATTCAAAAGGTACAAAGGGATAGGTTGTAAACAGAGGATCTCCTTTTAGCCTTGTTGGCTTCAAAGGGGACTGCTGTTACCATTGTCTGGAGTCTCCTTTCAGAGATGCTCTACCAATCAGCACCCTCATGCAACCCACTTTCCAAGGCATATTTTAAAAATATAAACCAACTCACGTCACTGCTGTATTTAAAAACCTTCAGCAGCTCACCAGAGTCCTAAGCATAGGGTCCCACCACATCTGGCCGTGCATGAAAGGCCTCTGCCTCTTCCTCACCCCCTCACCCCTCTAGCCACACTGCCTTTCTTTGCCCATTAACTGCTATAAGCTAAGCCCCTCTTGACTTCTTTGCCTTGTTAGTGATTTTTCCTCCTGCCTGCTACCCAGGGTGTGAATCCATGCAGACCTCTTTGTCTCATCCCATTCCCTCCCTGGGTATATCTGTCCCTCCTCTCCACTAGCCTGTTCAGGCCTCCCTCCTCTGACCCCATGATGTCACCAACTCCCATTGCCTTTCCTGCCTCCAGACTCACTCTATTTTAATCCATCTAGTGCTTGAGACTGGATTAATATTCTTCTAGTAGTGTTTCCCTAAGTTGTTTACATAAAAAAAGAGGGGTCAGTGAGGAATTCTGTGGTCAAATAAGTTGGGAACCATGGCTAAAGCTTGCCTTTCCAGGGGACTTTTCAGAGCCTTAAGGATATTGCTGTGCATTGTAGAATTGAGCATACAGCACTTCCCAAACTTATGTGACCATTAAACCTTTCTTTTGAAAATTAGCGTTCCTTAGAACATGCCTTGGGAAATGTTCTCCTCAAGCCTTGCTATCTGAAGGATGGCTTGGGGACTGGCAGGATCAGTGTCCTCTTGAAGCTTGTTAGAATTGCCGAATCTTGGGGCCTTCCCCAGACCTACTGAGTTAGTATCTGCATTTATAACATACCCAGGGGCTTCATGCACACATTAAAGTTTGAGAGTCTATAAAGTACCAAATGGTGAGGGTGCCCATTGTCACAGAATAAAACCCATCCTCCCAGTTGGGCATTTACAGTCCTCTGTGATCTGGGCTCCAATTCCCTCACCAGCCCCACTTTCTACCTATGCTGCATGCTCTATCAGCAGGCACCTTTGATGGAGTCTCTTAGAGGTGCCTCTTTAAATATTTATTTATTTTATTTTAGAGAGAGAGAGAGAGAGAGAGAGAGAAAGAGAGCATGAGTGGGTGGAGGGGCAGAGAGGGTGGAGGAGCAAAGGGAGAGGGAGCAGCTGAGGGAGTGGGAAGGGGGAAGTAGACTCCCTGCTGAGCAGGAGCCCCAGAAAACCCAAGGAGCCCAAGGTGAGCAGGGAGCCCAATGCAGGGCTTCATCCCACTACCCTGAGATCAAGACTTGAGCTGAAACCAAGAGTCAGATACTCAACCAACTGAGCCACATAGGGCTGCCTGAGCTCTGTGGGCTCCTTGTGAGGAGCCTGCTTCTCCCTCTGTCTATGTCTATGTCTCTGCCTCTCCTCTCTGTGTCTCTCATAAATAAATAAATAAATAAATAAATAAATAAATAAATAAATAAATAAATAAAATCTTTAAAAAAAAAAGGATTCTTGGGCCAGGACTGCTTTTTTTTTTTTTTCTTTTTTTTTTTAAGTAATCTCAAAAAAAAAGAAAAATCTCTATGCCCAATGTGGGGCTTGAACTCATGACCCCAGGATTAAGAGTTACACGCTTTACTGCCTGAGCCAGCCAGGCACCCCTGGGAATGCATATTCTTGAGAAGCTCTCCATATGGATCTGTTACATAGCCAGACATGGGACCCTTGCAGACACCCTGTTTGTTCTTAAGCCAGAAAGAGTTGACAATTCACTACCATTCCTCCATGGCATTCCTTTGACCAAACCTATTTTTCTCATCTGTAAAATGGAGGATAAGACTATTTCATAGGGTTATTTTAGAATTAGGAGAGAAAACAGCTAAGTTAACATTTACTAGAGATTATTTATTACTCTCATGATTATTATTCAGGAGCCCAGAAGAGATTAAGATGCTACTACAGGCCAAGCTGGTAGGCCACCAAATGTTTGGATTAGAAGTGCTGCACCTAGGGCCTGCCACTTTGGCTACACTCACATGTTTGTTGTGGTTGTTGCAACTGACTGGCTGATCCATACTTCTCAATCTGTGTCCCCACCAACCCTGACATTCCCAAATGAAGAGGAAAAGGAAAGAAGTTGGGGACAGGGCAGACCACATACCTGGTTGTTTTTTCCTTTTTGATGACATTTGCTTTGCATCTCTGGGGAGGCCTCCCAGTGGATCTGGAGATGGGGAAAGGGAATGGGTTGAAGTGCTGACCCCAGTACTCTTGTCTTTCACCATTATCCATGGAACCAAGTGATAGGACTGCAGGAAACAGGGGAACCTGGGGTATAGGTAAGTTCAAGAGTGGCACTGAATGGTAAAGGAGACTTGGCTTGGGAAGGGCAGTGCTATCTGATCAGGGGGCTATGGAAAGCTGGCAGGACTTCTAGGAAATTGAGGTTCCCAGGGAGCTGGATAAAGCTGGAGACCTTCCAGGTGCTCCAAGTTCTAGGGGCTAACCTCTTTGTGAGCCCCATCTCCTATGTCACGGGCATTGAGAGAGAACAGGGCACCTCGGGCTCCAACCAGCAGTCTTGCAGAGGACTCTTCCAGTAGCAGTGTTGAGTAGTTCTGGGCTTGACCCTTGAAATGCCGGGTCCTAGAGAGCTCTGGGAAGAGCAGGAGCAGTGAGCCCAGACCTGAGGCTGCCTCTCTATTCCCAGACCTAGCTCCTGCTGTCTTTCAAAATTTGAGGGTGGGGGGATCTAACCTTCATAGGGGATGGTCATCCGCGGGGTGGCATCTAGTTCTCTGGATGGTCTCCGAAGTGAGGGTCCAGGGACTGCAGTGGCTGTGAGGAAGCTCAGGAAGAGGGGCCAGAGCCTCCCCCACATTTTCCTGGGGAGGCCCAGACCTGTAAGACCCCCCAGGGGAGCCAAGGCCAGAATCACAGGGGATGATGGGAAGAACAGTCACGGGGGTCAAGGCCCAGGGAGGTCACTTGGAAGGTCAGGGGTCATGGGGCCAGGGAGGGTCCTGGAATCGAGGGGACATGGAATCACAGGGTTGTGTGGCCATGGAATCCCACGTTAGAGATCAGAGAGAGGGATATATCACACACTGCCTTTATGCATCATATACAAACTCCATGGTGGGAGGAACTTGTGGGGTCATAGAGGGGTTGTAGGTCACTGATGGGGTCACCCTGCCCCGACAGAAGGACTAGTCTTGGTTCTCTGAGGTCCGTTTTCTGAAGAAAAAACAGGAAAAAAACTCTTTGATCTATGTGTGGGTGGAAGGTAGATGGCATTACCCCCCAGACATCAAGGGGTACTGGGGGAGGTGGCCTATAGAACTCCCACTTCAGGATCAGTTCACTGTGACTCTTTCCACCTCTCTGTTCTGGTGCGAGTTGGGCAGAACTTGCTCTTCTTACAAGACCCTAGACTCCTCCCAACCCAAACCCAAAGTTAATGGCCCTCCTCTGACCAAGTCAGAAGCTAAGCTAGGCCTCCATCTCAACTAGAGCTCTGTTTTCAGGGAGAATGCCTTCTCCATCCAACAATGAGACCAAACTTGGGGCAGCAGTTGTCCTGGCTGCCTGCGGGGGTGCCTTATGCAAGAAGGCTGGGGCAGAGACATTTAATGGGCCTTTGTTTATTTTGTCCTGTTTTCCCTTTGTTTCTTCTTTTCCCTGGCCTGAGAGCTCCCTCTGGAATTTCTCTTTAATTAGACACTTCTCTTCCTCAGCATTCCTCTCTGAGGGGTTGCACATCTCTACTCTGCCCATGCGAGTCTGTACTGCACCCTCTGACTAGGCATCCACACATGCCCCTACCTGCAAACAGGCACTCATAGACATGGGGCAGGAGTGCTGCCATCTGGGCCCCCCTGGCTGCATTGGTGTAAAGTCTGTACTGGAGGCTCGCATGTGCAAGACCAGTTAATTAAGACATAAGCTACATGGAAAAGGTGAATGATCGCTTCTCTGCCTTTTGGCTAAGATCAAGTGTAATATCTGTTCTTATCAGTTTAACATAAGCTACATGGAAAAGGTGAATGATGAGATCCTTGAGTTCTTGGCCACCTCCCCTGGCACATCTTGGAGACTATTCCCACACCTGGACCCTCAAGCCAACCAGTTGGGGATGGGGTGGAAATAGGTGGCAGGCCTTCTGTGACCTCTGCAATAGACCTGATCTCTGAGGTGGCTCTTGAAGGCTTCCTAGATTGGGCTGGGTGTGAAGGAAGGCTGATCCACCCAATCTCATCAGACACCCACAGACAGGGCCATAGGAGCCACTGACCTCTCCCCTCCTCTCCAGGTCAAATATTAACTCTGTGGCCTTGAAGAGAGGGGAAGGACCAGGAACTGGCAAGAGGGAGAACAGGAATTTGGAGCATTTGTTTAAGAGGTAAAGGTCAGCACTGTAGTGGTCAGAGCCCAGAGGGGGAGAATGTAGTATGAGTGGAGAGAAGAGGGTCCTTGTACCACAGAAAGGGCATCAGCTCCTCGCTTGGGGGCTGGGCAGCAGGAAGTCCCAAGCAAACTGCCCATGCCCCACCCTTCACTGTGGAGGCACACCTGTTTATCTTTAGGGCCTATTTGCTTAGTGCAGAAGTGTGTGTGTGTGGGGGGGGCTATGGCTGCAAGGTCAGTTCCTAGGATTGGGCAGGAAGAACACACCCGAGGGTGGGAGGAACCACTCAGAGTGTGGTTCATGACAAAAGTCACACATGTCCAGAGAGGGGTGATGTGCACGCAATAGGTGCACATAAACATATGTTCACAGAAGGGCTGTGAACACATGTACTCACTGGAGAGTCATGCATACATACATTCACACAGAGGTTTGTGCATGCATATGTCCTATCAAGGGCCTGCCAGATGTGTTCACGCAAAATGACAAATGAGGTTGTATTCACACATTCACATCTATTCATTCAGCAGGTCACACAGCCTTAGAGATTGACAAGGAGGGTTATAAACCCATACATGTGCATATGAAGGATTGTACACCTACTCACAGAAAGGTCCAGCACATATACACATATGTGTAGGGACATGCACACAAACCCACCGATACAGTAGGTCAGGCATGTTCATGCTCACAGGTCAATTACATGTGTGTTCACACAGTGCTCAAACATACCATTACATGTTTGCAGAGACAAGCATTATGCACAAACAGGGGTCCAGTTCTCACTGCAGGCTTGGAGGCTGCCAGTGTCCACTGAGGTGCAGAGCAGATCCTGCCTCCCTTCCTGAAAGTCCCAATTTTAAGGCCAGATTCCAAGTGTGTGTGTGTGTGTGTGTTTAGCAATGTGGGGAGGCATCTGACCTCGGATGCTTAGATGGGATGGCCTCTCTGCAAAAGACTGAGGGGGTACCTAGCCCAGGAAGAAGGAGGCTCCTAGCTTTAGCAATGGAAAGATGGAATGAAACGTGTAACTTAGCACTGCTCTACTCCCATGTGTATACTGCTGTTCTACATGTGAGCATTGGGCAGGGGCTCTCAGCCCCCATTTAACCTGTTGGGAGGGAGGGCGGGGCTAAATGGGGGCGGAGCTGCTGCCCTCCCTCCCCCAGTAGCGACAAGGTTTCAAGGTCTCCAGTCCACACCCCACACTCCACCCCCAGGTTCCATAGTTTGGGTTCCTCCCCAGGGCCAGCCCACTGAACTCTGGTCACCTTCCGACTATGAGATCCTAGGGCTGAAGAAACTGAGGAGGGGAGACACCTCCGCCCCCAAACAGGATCGATGTTGGATCAGCAGGCTCTCGACCTTCATCCCAGATGTCCACCTGCTTAGATAGGCGGCATCCCCCTCTGCCCAGTAGGATGGCTGTCTCTTCTGGCCGAGAGCCCCTCCCCCCGCTACCCTCTCCATCCCCCATCCTGGACAGTCCGCGGGTCTCCCCTCTCCTCAGATCTAACCTCAGTCTCTACTGCTGCAGCTCGAGGACAAGCTCTCCTTCGATCCCGCCGGACGCCAGGAGACGTGACCCAGATCCCAGGGAACACTGTTCACCACGCGGGTCCCCGCCCCGCGCGGGTCCCCCACTCCGAAGTGGCGGCGGGTCTGCGCCCAGCACCACCCGAGGCCTGGCCCGCACCCCTCCAGAGCCTTTATGCGGGACCGGGAGCCTTGGCGATGAGAAAGGCCTGGCCCAGCTTGGAGGGTGGAATGGACGTGTGGAAGGCTTGGCCTGGCCTCCGCCCCCCCACCTCCCGGCCCAGGCCCCACCGCCGCCCGCACTCCCTGCCTTTCTCACCTTTGCGCTCGGATCCCCTGCCATAGAGACAGCGACGCGGCTCCGCGGCCCCACAGCACCAGCTGCGGGAGGAAGGGGCCGCGGCCGGAGGCGGGGCGGGGGTGGAGGCGGAGCCGGGGGTGGGCGGGGTCAGGGAGGCGGGGCTGACTGGGTGGGGTGCAGGGAAACGCGCGGCTCTCTTCTTTTTCGCCCCCCACCCTACACTACAGAGGTTTGAGGCCAAGGCTCCCAAGGCCTCCAGGCAGCTGGCGTCCTCTGTCCCCCCAGGGCCGTGGCCCCGGTATCGCCCCCTGGTGGTGGCCTCACCACGCCGTTCAACGTAGATAGGCTTATAGCCTCCGTTCCCTCCCCTCTGGCCCTGGGGCCCCTCCGACTTGGGTACTGCTGGGGACCTGCAAACCTGTCCTCTGGGGATTTAACCTCCGAGGGCCCTCTGACCTGTCCTCTAATCTGGACCTCACTTCTTACGCTCCTGCCACCTCTTCTGCTCTCTGCCTAGGGTGTAGAGGGCCACAGTAGATGGAGGGCAGCTCTGAGTAGCTCTAACACAGAACAGGTCTGGATTCCCAGCTCAAGAGCCTCTAGCTGCTTGGTCCTTTGGCTTGAAGTCTGAGTAGATCCGGCTTAGGGGGATGAACAGCTTGACCAGACGTTCACACAGAAAATGCTGTTTTTCTGGATAAATAAGCCACAAGGGTTTGCACTTGTCCACTCAACCAAACCTTATAGTAACTGGGGTTTACCTCCTCAGGGACTGGGTTACTCAGGTAACTGCCTTCCCTTTTAGCTCATGATGAGTATCATTCTTACTCCAGGTCTTCCAGTGAACTCTCCTCATAAGCAATCAGATATCCTGTCCCTTCTAGACTCAATCACCATACCTAGGAACGCCCCCCCTCAGAATCAGCTCCCCAACCAGGGGAGGTCCAGGATGGTCCTCCCATGCAATCTTTGATGCTGTAGTTTCCCTGGCAACTCAGGCTATATCTCTGCCTCATAGACTGTTAAAGATCCCACTAGGGACGCCTGGGTGGCTCAGTAGTTGTGCGTCTGCCTTTGGCTCAGGGCATGATCCTGGAGTCCCAAGATCAAGTCCCACATTGGGCTTCCTGCATCTCTCTCTGCCTGTGTCTCTGCCTCTCTCTGTCTCTCATGAATAAATAAAATCTAAAAAAAAAATTTAAAAAAAGATCCCTCTAGGGTTTGAATTAAACTGGGGCCCTAGCCATGATCTGGCCTGATCCCTTCCCTCATCCATGATAGTATTGTAATTGGCCCAAGAGCAGGACTAAAATGATGAAGGCCATAGGGTCACAGATAACTGACTCTTACATGTGCCTATGAGTCTGAGCTCTGGAGAGGCAGGGGGTGGGAGAACAGGCAGATGCATACTGGCCTGAGGGAGAGTGAACAAGATTCAAATGGCTCTGTCATTATTTAACTAAAGGGACCCTGGGAAAGGCATGTCATCCCACTTTCCTGAATTCCCCAGAGCTTAGTTTGGCACTTCATCATATACAATATTGTAGTTTGGGCTGCTGTGTGTGACTGCAGATCGCTAGACAGCAGGGCCCACGCTACACTTCCACCTCCCCCAGCATTCTGTAAATAGGATGTGTGTGTACAT